TGGTAGAATTATAATCGGTAATTAAATGTTGATTTTGAACGTAGGGCATGAAGAATTTTAGCAGGACTGCTGCAAATCTTTTGGCTGCCATGACTAAATTAGACAACGGTTATTACCCCTAGGTATCTGATCCAATCGAATCATGTTTTTACTTTCTGTTTCTATTTGTTATGTAATTCTTTTTTGTATGGCTTTACAGACGTTACACGGAATGTACATAGTCAATGCTGGTCCTGGATTCAAAAAGATGCTTTGGCCGGTTGCTCAGAAATTTCTTGATGCAAGGACAATTGGAAAGATAAATGTAAAGGATATGGCTTTAGGCTTTCTTCTTTCCATTCCCCTTCTCCTGCTCCCTAGTTCAGTTTTTTTTTTTATAATTTGCAGGTTTGGAGACCAAATCTCTCGGTAGGCTACTCGAAATCATTGACTCTAGGTCTGTTAATTATTTGTACATTCTTACCTACAAGAGAATTCAACCTATGATCCCTCCTAAGTCCTTGCTTTTCCTTCACCTCTTTTAGTCAGTTGCCTGATTTCTTAGGAGGGTCATGCACTTGCTCTGTGGAGGGAGGGTGTCTTAGATCCAATAAAGGTCCATGGAATGATCCTGAAGATAATGAAGGTAACCATCCCTTTAATGAACTTAGTTCTGTTTATGTAATATGCTGTTTCTTCCTCTCAAGCATGGAATGTTTGTTAGACATGATTTTAGGTTTCACTCAACTTTTGTCCGTAGATTAACATATGGTTCCATTGATAGCTTGCACATAATGCAGAAGCAACATTTGTGAGGCAGATCACCAGAGTATCTAATGACCAGCATAAATATGACTCCCATGTTAAAACACGGCCACTAAAGGCAAGTATTTAGTCTCATGATCATTGAGGACATTACTGTTCTGTGATTATATCTTCTCTGCACGTGTTTTAACACATACTATGTTTGTCAGGGAAGGGCTAGTGAAACGTCAACAGCAGAGTCTGGATCAGATATTGATGACCAGTGTTCTCCAATTGGAAAAAGAAGCTCTGTATTTCCTTGTCTGGCACCAGTTCATGAGGAAGTGAGTTGCAAAAGCAGAGAATTCTGTTTTATGTGGTAACTAATGTGTGTTTCTGTGCCTTTTTAATAAAAATGATTGTGATTTATGCAGGTGGGGGTGTCAGATCCAAATGCTTACTATAGTTGTGATGATAGTTTCCCTCTGGTTGAGAAAACTATAGAAAGTGACCTAGGACTGCTATATTCCCCAGATCAGTTGCCTAATTGTAGTTATGTGGATTGCCAATCTCATCAAAGAACATCTTCTTATTATTCGGAAGGTATTTGAAAATGCTATTTTATCACAGTAATCAGTTTCTCTTCTTAGAGGAGGATACTTTAAATTTACCTTTGCTATATCGTTTGTTTGATGGTGCATGGACTGTGTTTCTTGTTTACTATCTGGTTTCACATACGATGTGGATAATTTACCCTGTACTTGATGGATTTTTTGTTATAATTCCCTATTCTTTGGACTTGTTTTCCAAATTGAATCAAATTTGAGGAATTTCAGTCATCCGTTGGTTAGACACTGTCAAGGAAAAGGTGGGGAGAAGGAATATTTATTCTGTGGAAAAAATGCTAATAGGTTTATTGGTTAGACTGGTTGCCTTTATTCGCACTGTTCAATTTGAATTTTGGAGAAGGCCAAACAATATTCATCCTTCGAATATGATTGATGGAATCCAACACGAAGAGCCATTCAAATTCAACAGCACCAGAAGCTGTTAATGAAGAAAACCATGTCCTTCCATGTTTAGAGCGTCTTCAGAAACTAGAGAAAGCATTTGAGGAACTTAGCAACAAACCTGCTGGAATTCCCGCAGAAAAGGAGAAAATGCTTATGGAATCTCTGGACCGAATCAAATCTGTCAAGTTTGACCTTGACAAAACTAAGCGAGTATGGCTCATGGAAATTGCTTTACATAAATTAGAGGTTTGAAGACTGATTTAAATGATCACAATCATTGACAAAAGTTTCATGTTACAGGTTCTGCATCCTACAGTAATGAAGCAACTTGAGATTGCAGCGTTGCTGGAAAATATACGTGCATCTAAATGTCGTGTAAGTTCCATTCTCTATAAAATAGTATATTCCACAGTGTTGCAATCTTGAACATGATCCTATTCTGGTGTTTAGGAGGTTTCATGTGTTTTAGTACTCTGTCAATGTGATAAGGGCAGCAGAAGAAGGGGGGGGGGGGGGGGTAAGTAATAAGTGAAGCCATTGCTTGATGATTTCACACCAAATGAAAAGGAATTCAAAGCCTAACTTTCTATTTGAGAAAGGCAACCATCAGCTAATCTGTTTATGGAAAAGAAAATTGTTACAGGCTTATGAAATATTAGCTCTAGCCTCTAGCCATGCTTTAGAGTTTCAAATGCCGATTTGTCATGTTGGTGTATATCAATTCTTTTCAAGTCATTGTTTTCTTCACGCGAGGAGTGACGATTGTTGGCATACTTGTTGCAGCAACGAAGATTATTCTGTTGAATGTTTGGAGATTGAGCTTGCAGACAAAGTGGAGCTATAGGATGTCGATGCAGACAAAGAACGTCATCTGAGCCCATCTTTGTTCGTGGCTCGTGGACGAAGCATGGGGGATGGACTCTTTTTTTTTGCCTTCTTCGTCTCCTTTTAACACCTCCCACATGACTGAAGTTACAGTTGAACTATAAGGATTTTTCCAAAACCTATCTTTGAAACAGTGTGGAGAAAAAAAAAAGTGAAATATAGTCTTACAATGAGTAATGTTTTTGTTTTTATCTCATTATGTTCGAATGAATATAATAGCTATGTCCTACTTAATGTAAACACTGAGCATAGTGAATGAAATTTTGAATCCTAACTGGAGTTCCATGGAAGCCACCATGACACAAGGTCAAATAAGGGCACTTAAAACACATACATTTTCCTTTTCTCATGACCCACTTCACTATCTGAGACGGAGAGTGACATCCAAGACCTGAAAACATCATCCACTATATCTATAGATGCTTTAGATAAAAGGAAAATGTCCAAGATTCCCCTCAATATACAGGCAATACAATCTATAACGTCGGAGGGAATGGCTTTGCTCACGCCTTATGACTGCTGGATTAGAGTCAATATGCATCTAATTTATCTACTAGTGCAAGAGGTCCTTGCTAGTTAGAGGCACAACTTCCTGATATATTAAGTTTCATTTGTGGGTTGCGATCAACAACCGTGCGCCTTTCATCTGTCTTTTTCACCTGATGGAGCTAGTTAGAGCTAAACTTGGATTTCCTTCAAGTGCTATATATAGGTATATATAGAGTCTAGGTCACCTGATGGAGCTGAGAGGATTTTATCCGTTTGCAGGCAATTATGGGTTCATAAAGCATCCACCTAGAGCCCCAGAAGCGATCCAAACATTGATCTGATAAGACTGGATATTAGCCAACCCATCGCAGAACCTAAGCAGTTTTCAGGGGGTTCTTAGTTAGAACCCTTTGGCCCTGGCCGAAACCATTTGCCCAGTTGCTGCTTAAGATTATGCGAGCATTGATGATTTCATGAGGAGAAAGTGGAAAATAAAGATTCTTGATCAGGACAGCCGACCCGAGTCTTCCCTGATAATGTTATCTTTAGGGAGTTGTGGCCATATATAGCCTTTTTGCGGTTGGCGGAGGCCATCTCTTGACCATTGTTTTTCTTTCGAGTCTTCTTGCCACCGTGCTAGCTTTTTCATACTAGTAGAAAAAATCAAAGACAACACTTTCAAATCAAGGGAGTATATATATTGGGAGAATGCATGCAGGCCAATAACAAAGAGAGTTGAGCTGACTTTATTTTGTTCACGCGTCTAAGTATAACCGCCGTACCAAAACGGCCAAAAGATCTTGAGAATATCTGTTTGTTATGATAAGCTTATGGAAAGGAAAGGGTAATTTCATTCATTCTTTGATGATAATGATTGATATAGTTGTAAAATAGTGAATGAGTTTGATAATCATTGCCGATGTCTATGTGATCTAGAAGTGGAATACTGAATTTTCAATCTTCAATAATTTTAAATCAAAAAATTAATAATCCTTTAGATGTTCAAATTAAATGAAATTAAAAAAAGAAAAAAAGAATGGTGGGTCGATATTCCTTGGTTTTTCGTTTTGCATGGCTGGTTCTGTCTGGAAAGCTGACCAAGCATTTAGGTTAGTAATTAATAATAGCAACCTCACCATATGGTAGAAGGTTAAGGTCCTGGAGTTATTATGCCAAAACTGATATAAATGCAATCCAATCATATACATATTAATGTAAAGGTTGGCGCAAATAAATTATGCTCGCCTTTGTATAGGGTCGACAATAAGTTGGGTCGAGATGATTTTTATTCTTCTCAAATTCGATTCGATTTTATATTTATAAAATTTGAATCTAAATTTTTTTATTTTTTTATTATATTTAAATTCGATTCGATTTGATATTGTATAAATTATACCCAATTCAATTTGATTTAAAATTAATAAAATATTATTTTTTAAATATAATTATATAAATATATATATAAATAAAAAATTAAAAAATAATTTTTATATAATATTAAATCGGATCAGATTGAATTTACTTACACTTTAAACTTAACTTGACTTTAATTTTTTTTTAATATTATTCAATAAAAATTTAAATTTAAAAGTAAAAATCAATCCTATAAAATTGAGTCTAATCAAAATTCATTGAAAGCTAATTGAGCTACCAATCCTATCTCCCTGTGAGTTCTACTATATCTCTATTTTTAACTCTCCATGTAAGATTTTAGAGAAAAAAAATGTAAAAATGCCTCGAAAATTTTCAGGTTTAAAATTCAACTCATTTTACTGCCAGGCTATTGATTATTTTGGCCAACTATTGTTGTTGTTTAGTTAGACTTCTGAAGGCAATGACAACTGCAGGCATCTGTGTATAAAATAGTTTATAGTTTTACACATGAGTTAGATATTTTTTGGACGAAAATTGAGAAGGTATAGATTGAACAAATTAAAAACTAAAAAGAAAGGAAAATTCCCTTTTCCTCTTTTGCTGCCGCTTCGTTTTCTAATATACTATCTTGCTCCATAACTTTCGTTGAAAAAGTTGATCTCATCAGTTATCAGCTAGTAGCTGGTAAAACAAAACAGTGGTCAGACAGTCTTAAAATCATCAAAAACTTATGTTTGGACAGTCACAGTTGGAGTAGGAGCCCAGTTTTCGCGTTTTTAGCTGTAACCCATTTTGAATCATAAGCAAACCAACACACCGCCTTCTTTTCTCTTTTCTTCTTTGTCTTTCTTTATTTTATATATTATTCAATTCCAAATTTCAAAGCTTGAAGCTTTGGCTTTTCTGTTGCTTGAATACCCAGAAGAGAAACAGAAGCTGCAAAGCATAAAGAAGCCTTGATTTTCTAATAGTCCATTCTATATTGCTCTGCCCCAGAAAGGAGGCAGATCTGCTTGCTTTCCTTTTATTAGCCCACAGCAAAAACCAAAAAAACAGAAGTACTTGATGGGGAGAGAAAAGTTGTTCTTTTGGTTTGCACTTTTCTTCCTTTTGTTGGGTGTCTCTGCTTCCACTTCAATTTCAGGTATTTATCAAAAGATTTTACAGGGTCTCCAGCTTCTGAATCCATCATTCACCTTCTAATAATTGATGATCTGAATGCAGATGGTGTCTTCGACTCTTTCATTTCCACAGGAAGGAACCTCCTTCAGACCAAGAAAGGTTCTTTTTTACCTTCTATCTCCATTTATTTATTTTTTTTAATTTTCGAAAAAGAAAGGTTCGGTGATAGGGTTTAGAATCAGATAAATCATTTGCTACCAGATCTGATGCTTTGAGATTTTCTTTTCTTGGTGTTAGTCCATTTGAGATCTTCTCCCTTTTTAATATTGCACCATTTTAATGGAGATAAATGAGTTTGGTTGATGTGCCACACAAATGATTTAGCCGTAATCTCAGATGATGAAATTCTGCTTATGCTAATATCTTCATCAGGGGGAGGAAGGGACTGACGGGGACTTTTTATCTTGTCTTAATTTTCCGGAAGCTCTGGTGGAGAAATTGTTTTCTTGCTTTTGCCATTCTGTTTTAATTAAAACCATAAACATTACGAAACTTTCATTGACATTTTACCAAAACAATAAACGATTTCCATCAAACTGAAAATATGAAATTTGCTGATTAAGGTGTTTATCATCAACATAGATGCTCTACGTTGTAACGACAAAGATGCTATCAAACTGTTTTCTTGGTTCATCTTACATTTTAAAAACATCTTATTATTGGAGCAACTAGCAGAGCTAAATATCATTCATCAACCCATTTATTGCCTGCTTGTTTTCTGTTTTCCAAGCTCGAAAACAGTCAAACGGTATGTTCTTCTGTAAGTTAACCATATTCAGTGTTATCATTCAATTGATGTTGGGTGCTATTTTATTTTTCTTTCACGATGTCTCCTGTTCTTGTAAGGGAAATTTTCCGAGTGCGTAATAATGTTGTTCTTTACTAAACGACACCCTAAACTTGTGCATATTTAGTCCTATCATTTATTTTCCAAGAGCTAGATGAGACTCAAGATTTGCAAATCATTTGTGGCAAATGTTAAATAATCAGACCTTTGCTAGAATTAGATGATCTTGTACATGTTTCCTTCCCTTAATACTATCCGTCACATAATTCGATACCCATTTGTTAACTGCATAGCTATGTTAATTTTTGCGTTTTTGCTCGGCTTATTGAAGATTCCAGAAGTTTATTTCATCGCCTTAAGCCCTGTGCACCACATAATTCAAATATTGTCAAACAGCAACGTTAGAAAAAGTTGATTCCATCGAAAGATCTCTTGGAGCTTTGTAGATGTTAGATGGAAAGCAAAGGTTTTTTGTGGGCTCTGTTGTTTAACTATGAAAGGATATTAAACTTGACATACTATTTTGTTTCTTTATCTGCAGCTTGCCCAGTTAACTTTGAGTTTCTGAACTACACAATTATCACAAGCCAATGCAAAGGACCCAAGTATCCACCTGAAAGTTGTTGTTCTGCGTTCAAGGAATTTGCTTGTCCTTATGTGGAACAGATCAATGACTTGACAACCGATTGTGCTTCAACTATGTTCAGCTACATTAATCTTTATGGGAAATATCCTCCGGGTCTTTTTGCTAGTGAGTGCCATGAAGGGAAAGAAGGGCTTGCATGCCCTGCATTACCTCCATCAACATCAGAGAATGCTAGTGGTAGTCAGCTAATATGTAATCCATCGATGCTGCTAATGGCCACGGCCGGGTTCCTAATGTTTTTATCCTTGTTGTTGTGAAAGCCTGGAAGTGAATTCCATTTATTCCAATTGTTGATTTATATATTATATTCCCACTTTTAACCTTGTGAAGAGTACAGTATTTTGATACATGAGGTTCGTCAGCCATGCTTTTCTTTGTACTTGAAGAAATGTGGTAGAGATTGGAATGCTACTGGTAATAGTTGGGAGAATAGTGCTGTGTGAGAATGGGTTTGCAATGCTAATGGGGGTGTGGTATCTTCTTAGCACACGTACCGAGCTTTGACGTGTGTATTAGTTGGTGATGTGAAGTTGTGAACTGCCACTACTACTACTACATAGATTCTATATCCTGAAAACCTCCTTGCCTAACATACAACTTCATCTCTCCCGATCCTGAAGGAGAAAATTAGATTTGTGTGTCGTCTCTACTATTTGCATGTCAAAGTTGGAACAACAAAACTATTATTTGCCAATTTCATTTCAACTTACCCGCTATTTGTTGGACATGATTTGTGCTTAATACATACCATTACTAATTAATTTTTTTTCTCCATCAATTTGCTCCTTTCTACAGTGTACGTATAAATTCTTGCAAAATAACAAAAAGACCCTACGTAAATCTGCTATAAGTTAAAATAGTTGAACATAAAAGAGTTTTTTTTTTTTTTTAAGAGTTTAGAATCAGAAGTGATTTAAAGTTTATTGATCCACTATATAATATTTTCATACATGTATAATTTATCACATTCCCATGAAAAGTTCAACTATTAGATCTAGATACTAGCTGTAGTTGAGATGAAAAAGGCAGGAAGACAAAAATGAATTTTCTTTCATACAAATGGATTGGACATTGGATGAAAATTTTGCTCCAATTCAAGAAGCCTCCAATCACTTGTTTTGCTCCAATTCAAGGACTTGATTGCAATTTTAGCAAAACAAAAGCTTACTTGTATAAAAAGAAAAAAGATAGACGGATTCAACTGTATACGTACATAGAGATCATGGGCCCATAAAAAATTACTGAAAGGTTAAAAACCCTAAAATAAGATTAAGGCCCTTACCCGTCCGGAGGTTTATATTCCAAGCTGTTGGCGCTGGGTTTTGTTTCTTCTTTTGAGTCTTAGGTGCAGCCTCTTTCTCAGGCGTCCTGATTCTTTACCAAGGTACGTTCTTCTCTTCATTGTTTGATTGGTTACTCAGAAAATGTAAAAAAAGTTCTTTTTATATGCTGTTGTCACTTTGTCATGTCCAAAATGAACCAGTAGGTTTATCTGGGCATTATACATCACAGAATGGACCAAATTTACTTTTTGAAGTTGTGAAAGATGTGGAAACACTTTGATGGTCTTTTAACAACCTATCTGCTTGGTTCTTAGGTCTCTACACAAGCCTTCATTTATCCTTGTCTTCTACAATGCTTCAATAGACTCTGATTTTTCATTTCGCAAACTTGTTTTTGCTGATTGAATTTTCTTCTTCCCTACAACTAGAGGTTTTTGCGTTTCCCCTACTTCTGAGGTGAAACCAAGAATCATTCTAGTTTCTAGATTCATTTCTTCTTCCTCTTCCCTTTGCAGGAACAGCTAAATTATCTGAGATGGGTCGTGTTCGCACCAAGACAGTGAAGAAGTCTTCGCGTCAGGTCATTGAGAAGTACTACTCTCGCATGACCTTGGACTTCCACACCAACAAGAAGATTGTTGCAGAGGTTACTCTCATTCCTACGAAGCGCCTTCGTAACAAGATTGCTGGCTTCTCAACCCACTTGATGAAGCGCATTCAGAAGGGTCCAGTTCGTGGCATCTCACTTAAGCTTCAAGAAGAAGAGCGCGAGCGTCGCATGGACTTTGTTCCTGATGAGTCAGCTATTAAGACCGACGAAATTAAGGTTGACAAGGAGACTCTTGACATGCTTTCTGCTCTTGGCATGGCTGATATTCCTGGTCTTCTTGAAGTTGAACCACAAACTATGATTGCTCCCCCAGTTTTTGGTCACCTGGGTGGTGCTGGTAGGAGATACTGAGGTTATTGAGCTTTGCAGGTCGTTTTGAGACTAAACAAGTTTTGATTTTATTACTTAATATTGTTGCTACTAGTTAATTTTGAACGTGTTATTGAATATGGATGATTTGGCACATGGGCTGAATGTGCATAAAAAAAATTGGTATATAAGTTCATTTAATTATGATGTCCTTCACTCGTGATTTATGGTTTTCAATCAAGTAATTGGTTTTATTTCTGGATGTGGTTTGGACGACTATTACCAGCAAATAAAAGGGATTTGTGCAGCTTCATTTAACAATCAAGTTCCTTGTGTTTTTTTTTTTTGCTTTGTTGCTCTTTCTCTTTTGGTTGTTTCTTTTAAGAACAGTAATTACTAGACAATATCTATAAATACAATGATCTACCTGATTGACAGCACAAATAGCAGGAACATTCATGTCAAATAAGACAGTGTGGATGGCATCTTTAAGCTGCCTTCTTGATGTTTGGCAGATTCAGTATCTGGAGTGATCAATACAGAAGAGAGGTGAAAATCTGACTTAACCATGGTAAAGTTCAACTATTTCTACCATGGTAAAGTTCAACTATTTCTCACTACAACTAAACTTTACATAATCAGGTGTGACCCAAATACCATTGTAATCTTCTCTTCTTCATAGAGGGATCCCAGCGATGAATATGATAACGTCGTTGTAATAGGTGAAGAAGTTAAATGAGTGAGTGAGGGTGGATGGGTGGCAGAGTCGGCGGTGGAACAGGAACGATAGGAGACTGATTCTCAGACCTTCCTCAGCAGCGTGGCCATTGCTGATGCGCGGACAAAGAGGAGGATTTTATTATGTGGGATTGTGAAATGAGGTGAGATGGATAGATGGATGGAGATAAGGTAAAGGCAAGGGTGGGTTGACGATGACGTGGACTGAGATGGAAATGACACTCATTTCATAGATAGAGTGCGTCGTGGAACGGGGTTTGATCTTGCACCTGATAATGTTACGTTGTTAACGTGTATATAAGCACTGTTGTCAGTGTCTCTGTCTGATCCATGTTTGTCGTTTCTAAAAACAAAGTGTACTACAACTACCACTGACGATCGAGACTATTTTGTTTCTTCATGCCTATCTGATTAAAGAATAATTATGTAAATTTTCTTTTTTTTTTTTTCTTTTTTCCTTCTGATAAAACTAAAGAAATGAAGTTTTCCTCGGAGATATTGAAATCTTAGAAGAAATATTGAAAACTAATTCAAATGGGAATTGGATATAATCAAAGCCACAATAGAATGTAGGGGGACGAGTGTAGGACCATGATGGCAATAAGCTTATTGGGCCATTAAGTCAATCCCGGGTTCAAGTTCATTTATGGTTAAACGAGGTCGTATCGTACATATTACTAATTCATATCTACCTAAAATTATTCTATATAATAGAATCATCAAATTATAATTTCTAATCTCTTCCTTCACCCTTTAAATATATACATATACATAGCAAATAATAAAAGTATACTAATGTACTATACTATTACTATTTACTATTACCAGCAAAATTATTTTTCCCTCAACGAATTTTTTGAGTATATAAAATCCACCTTCTATTCATCAAAAAAAAAAAAAAAAAAAAACCCTCACCTTTTATAAATAATCATTTTCTATATATAATATATATTTCTTAAAAACATGCAATTTATTCTGATGCTCGTATTTTCATCTCCAAACCAGATCGGAGGACAACACCAGCTTCCCATAATCTCTTATATTTCTAAAGGTTCCTCTTTTACTCGTTCATGATTCATTTTTTTTTATGTTCATAATCTTCGATCATCTTCATCGTTTCTGTTAATCGATGCATAGGTGCATATACAAATTAATTCTTTTTTTTTTTTAAAACACTTTTAGGGTTTGCCCTTTTTTTTTTTAAATAATTATTGTTTTATTTCTTGATAACAGTTATTATTTGCAAGTGAATCAAATTGTTGTTGCATGATTGTTCTCATTTGGGAGTTTAATTTTTCGTTTCAATTTCCATTAGGGTTTATATTAATCAGGTCATTTCTTATTTGGGCCATGTTGTCGTGTTTTTATGAGTGCTATTTAAATTTAGAAAATCAAAAATGAAATGTATTGAATTTCATGGGACTTGACTTCTTTCTTGGACCCCAAAATCTACAATGATGAATAGGCCTGCAGAGAGGAATGTGAGATAGAAAAAACTCACCTTTATAGGTGGTAAAGTTTCCAAATTTAGGCACCTTGGAAAAGTTTTGTTAGTCTTGTTTTTGGGGCGTTGCATGCTTGAATTAAGAAGTGAATTTTATCTCTATCCTAACGTGATTATAGCAAAATTGAATTGAAAATATTGCAAAAATTACTTCAGAATATATTATAGCATATGTTTCCCATAAATAACCTATGATGGGATTGACTCATAGGCTATCAATCTTTAATTAGATAATTTCCATGCTGATGTAAGTCTTTCATACACATTGAAAATCGGCATAAAACTGTACCTATATGATGGATTTATGATTGTCTGAGCATGTTATTTTAGATATTTGTTTCCATTTCCTTTTCCATTCCTTTGACGAGGGTCCCATGTTTGGTGATAGATTTGATTTTCTCTTTAATTCTGACTTGGTTGTGGTTTCTATTCTCTGTTAGTGTTAGATTATCATGTTCAATATCCTTAGATAATACCATTAGATGATTTAATTATAATTATTGTGAATATCATTTTAATGTCTTAAACACTACATTGTATAAATTGTAACTTGCATGAGTTTTAGTGGCAGTACATGTCATGTTACTGTTCTTGATGATTTTAAATATGCACCATCTTATCAATTATAATCATCACTTCATCAGTGTACTTAGCACAAAGTTTACTATTTAAAAATCTAAGATAATACAATCTTCTGATTCAATGTTGTGTGGCTTTTTCTTTATTGGTTTGGTTATTATTGTTGAGTGACTATTAATTTATTATCAATGCTTGAATTTATTTTGGTGTAGGTGTTGTTTTGTCTGGTGGAATATGTCCCATTACCGAGAAGATGATGCTGAATACATGGATGAGTATGACTTAGAAGACATGGATGATGACATGGATGAAGAGTTTTGTGGCAGAGATATGTCTGGCTCAGACTCTGATGTTGATGAATATGACGACTTGGTTTGTTTTATGTTTTACAAGATTCACATAGGCACTTCTTGAGCAACTAAGTTCACGCATCATTAGATTAGGCAAATATGGCTTTACTATTTCTAAATATTTCAAAGTTTTTGTTGTAGTATTCATGGATTTCAAGCCAGCCTATTGTAATTTGACCGTATTGCAGAATAATAAGATATCTGATACTTCTGCTGCTCAAGCTAGAAGAGGAAAAGACATCCAGGGAATTCCTTGGGATCGCCTTAGCATCACTAGGGAAAAATATAGGCAAACAAGGCTAGAACAGTACAAGAACTACGAGAATATCCCTCTGTCTGGAGAAGGGTCAGGGAAGGTAAAAGTCCTTATAAGTTGCCTGCATGCCTTTTATAACAATTCTTGGATCTAATGTTTTGGTTGTAATTGAACTAAGTTGATATTTCAATTTGTATATAGGATTGCAAAGTTACCAAGAAGGGTGCCTCATATTATGACTTCAGACTAAATTCAAGATCTGTGAAATCAACAATACTTCATTTTCAGGTTAGCTGAATGGAAGTTTTCATTTAATTTATATCAGCTATATTTACCCCATTCATATTTTGTGACGTCATAGAAGGATTTTTTTTTTTTTTTAAGATTTATGTTTATATTTTTAAAATTTCTTTCTCATATCTTGTAATGTTACTGGCCTGTCCTTTTCTTTTGGTATATTTGACTGTGATGTGATCATTTTGACTGATAAGCATATCCATTTGTGGTGGTGCAGTTAAGGAACTTGGTATGGGCTACATCAAAACATGATGTTTACCTTTTGTCACATTTTTCTGTCATGCATTGGTCTTCATTGATACATGGGAAGCGTGAAATTCTTAATGTGTCTGGTCATGTGGCACCATCTGAGGTCTGTTTTCTGGCATTGATTTGCTTTTTCTCTGAATTGTTGGTTTTTCCCCTTTTCTTTCTTTTCCTTTCTCTTCTTTTCCCCCATCTCATTTCCTCTGAGATTGATCAACGTGTTTTTCCCTCTTAGAAACATCCTGGAAGTCTGATGGAAGGTTTTACACAAACTCAAGTCAGTACCCTTGCAGTAAAAGATAAGCTGCTAGTTGCTGGAGGATTCCAGGGTGAACTGATATGCAAGGTGAGTAATGTATCTTGTTTCCCCCTAAATCCTTTATTGACAATAAAAAAAAAAGATCAGAGAATGAATGAGCCTTTGTGCGGCAGTTGCAGAGTTGCTTTTCCATACAATATAGCTCTTTCTCAGTTTTTGCTAGTCACTTGAGGTCAATTGTTCATATCTTAACTATTCTAGTTCAATCCATTGTTAGACATATCTTTCATGTTATGAGAAGGATCTGGCTAAATGATTCTATTAAGCTCATTAGAATTTATGAACTTTGTTTTCTTGCTCATTCTGTTTCAAAGTTTATCAATTTTATCTTGGTTTGAACTATTTATTACTTAGAAATTTTAGAACGGCAAAAATGCTAAAAGTTTATATTTGAAGAGGAGTTTTTTTTTTTTTTTTTGCTGAGCTCTTGGTTAGTGTTATCCTGTTGCCAGTTATCTTTAGAATTAATTAGTTGATTTTGATTTGGAATGTAGCATTTAGATCGACCTGGAATAAGCTTCTGCTCTAGGACAACTTATGATGACAATGCCATTACAAACGCTGTCGAGATTTATGTCACTCCAAGGTATTTCTTGTTCCCTGAGCTCCTGGTGGCATCGGTCACATACTTACATTCAACTGAACCTAATTTTGCTTTGTTTTTGAATTACCAGTGGTGCAGCTCACTTTACTGCCTCAAATAATGATTGTGGAGTCAGAGATTTTGATATGGAGAAATATCAACTTTCTAAGCATTTTCATTTTCTTTGGCCGGTCAATGTAAGTTTCTTGTATTGGGATTCCGTTTGTTTTAGATTGGTAAACATACACTTAATATTATTCCATATAAAATTTAATTTGCAGCATAGTAATTATTGGTTCTATCGACACTGTAGAGACGATGAGGTGAAATACTATAAGCTCTTCTTACGTGTTGCTTTTGCAGCATACTTCTTTGAGCCCTGATGGGAAACTTCTAATAATAGTTGGAGACAACCCTGATGTTATGTTGGTGGACTCTGACACGGGGAAGGTAGTTGTCTGCTTGCTTTTTAACTATTTACATTTTTGGAGATTGCAAAGTCTAGGATGTGGCATCGGCTGACTTGAAATTGCATTGTAGACTGTTATGCCTTTGCGTGGACACTTGGACTTCTCATTTGCATCAGCATGGCATCCTGACGGTGTCACTTTTGCCACCGGGAACCAAGACAAAACTTGCCGGATTTGGGACGTTCGGAACTTGTCCAGGTCAATTTCTGTTCTCAAGGGAAATCTTGGAGCAATACGGTCTATACGCTATACATCTGATGGTAATTACATGGCAATGGCTGAGCCTGCTGACTTTGTGCATGTGTATGATGTGAAAAGTGGGTATGAGAATGAGCAAGAAATCGATTTCTTTGGTGAGATATCTGGCCTATCCTTTAGTCCGGACACAGAGTCTCTCTTTATTGGTGTATGGGATCGTACATATGGTAGCCTTCTTGAGTATGGCCGTCGGAGGAACTACTCATACCTTGATTCCCTAATGTGAGTTGATTGTGCAGTACGCAAAATAAAAATGTTGGTGTGGTTGATGGTATTTGAGGAAATTTGTAACATTCCAAGCTGTAGAAGAGGGTTGTAGGTGTAAATGTAAACTGTATTTCGTAATTTTAGGTTATTTATGTTCAATTAGATTTTAGTTCATTGCCACTTGTGGGGGTCAATCATCGTAAGATGTTAATGGTAGGGGGATGTACAGAAGGCTAGACAGAGCTGTTCATGTGAACAAGAAGAATGAAGGCGGGGGGGTTCTTTTTATTTTCTTTAATGAATCTGCCATTCAAATGACTATGATCCTGTTGTGCAGGATAATTTGAGTTTGCATTTTCGTGGTATTTGGCCGAAATGAGTTTTTAACTTTGTATATAATCAAACTAAGCTCAGCCATATTTAAGGCATTTCTAAATGAGCTGAACAAAAACGTTCACACTCTATAAGAACTTAGCTAATTGTAAACCAACCAAAGTTTGATTAGAGCCAAGCTGGACTTCTGATAAAAGAAAAAAAAAAAAGGCACGATTAGATGGGCTGGATTTAGTAAATCAACCAAGTTGTAATAAAGCGAGGAGATGCAGGCCAGGGTGCTTGACAATTCGTTTACTAAAATTGTGGTGTTAAAAACAGTTTCAATTTCGGCCGTGAATCGAACACCTAACCCTCTGATTTGGCCACCCCTTGTCTGTAACTGTAAATAACTAAATATTCCCCAAGCTAAATTTCTCAAACAGTCCAACGACTTTTCAGCTTTTCTCATTTGGACCCAAAAATCTCTATCCAAAAGAAACCAATGAAACAAAGCCAAGTCGACATCCAAAATCTTTCTCCCACCATTTCCATCCTCACAATCCCCCTCTCCTTCTTCCTACTGCCACTTGTTTTTACTATATGATCTTTTATACGCCACTTCCCTTAATCATCATCTCCTACAAAATCTATATTTTTTTCACTATCCAAGACTTCTTTCAATCCGCACTCTGCAGGCACCATGGCAGCCTCCTCAACTTTGTTCACCCCCATCTTCTCCACCATCCAAAAGAACCATGCCAGCAACCATCTCAGCCCCTCCAGCATCTCATTCCAAGGCATCAGACCCCTCAGCAAGGCCAAATCCTCATCCAGGGTCACCCGCATCGCCAGAAACTCATCTGCTAGGCTTGCTGTCAAAGCAGAGCTCAGCGCCCCAATTGTGATAAGCCTAAGCACGGGTCTTTCCCTATTCTTGGGTAGGTTTGTGTTCTTCAACTTCCAAAGAGAGAACGTTGCCAAGCAAGTGCCTGAGCAAAACGGGTTGACACACTTTGAGGCTGGGGACACACGAGCCAAGGAGTATGTTAGCCTTCTCAAGTCCAACGATCCTGTGGGATTCAACATCGTCGATGTTCTTGCTTGGGGTCCATTGGCCATATTGTTGCTTACTACATCTTGGCAACATCCAGCAATGGCTATGATCCCAAGTTCTTTGGCTGAACCACTTCTTCTTATAAGTTATGCTATATTTGATTAGAACCAATGTATAGTTTTGTCTATTAGTTGAGGTTGGGGGAGGTTGGATCTCTTGTTTTGCTTTACTCCTGCTAATTTCTGGGTTTTCTTGGATGCATATGTTAATTACTTTGGTTGGCAAAAATGCATATGTTAATTAATTTAGTAGTCTTTCTGGTTCTTCATTCCAGCATCGGATTAACAGCCACTGCTAACTATCTATTAGTATATTAAAACTAAATCAAGCAGGCAGCAGCAGGCATTAATAAAGCAACAATCAATTATGATCCATTGAAGGGGTTAGACTTTTATATACTCTGGCAAAATCCCCCTCGTATGCTATTGCTCCTATGTATTCTAACTGGATTTTTAATGGGTCCAGACAATCACAGACAAGGTAACAATGATAGAAGAACCAGAAATATATATATTTTTATTTGAAAATTAAACATTTATTATTATAATGGCAAAAATACTTTTAATATTTTACTTTCCTATGTATATTCATCACTATTCTTGGATTTATTTTTCCTTCTTCAAAATAAGGCATGTGGATACAAAACTGAAAGCGGAGAAAAGTGGATTTTTTTTTCTATTTGTTGAGTGAGTAAGAAGAATGAAAAAGTGAGGGAAATTCTTTTATCACAAGCATTGCAGCATTGCCACCGTTGGATATTTTGTTTAGAGGGGCATTCAATGCAGCCAAGCCAAGTTCATAGAAAATTTACGTGGTGGGGAATTTTCAAATACCAAGATTAAGATTATTATTATTTTTTTACTAAAAATAACACAGATTGAATTTTAATTATTAAAATTAAGAGATTAATAATTTTTTAGTGCTTTTATATTATATGAATAATATAGGGCAGGAAACAGAAAAAAAAAATCTATATCTACCGGTAATAGTTGGTAATTTAAAATCTTAATCAAACCAAAATCCAACATCCAAACTGTTTTACCTTTGTTGTTGAGTTGAGTCTAAAAATGTTTCAGCAACAACAGCAGCAGAGTGAGAGTACAAATGGGAAGTACAACAACACACCTCGCTATCCCTCACCATCTGCCAAGTACAAGGATGTCGCTCAAAGTTCTGACCTTTTGTGGGAAAAGCTCAAAGCTTTTAACAAATCAATCGGCAAAAAATTCAAGTAACTCTCTTTCCTTGCAATTTCCAACTTCGTCTTTAACATGGGTGCATGTATCTGGGTCGTTTTTTTTTTCCTGCTTTGCAATCCTTATGCTTCTGCAAGAGTAGGAGTTGTCAGATCCTGATCCTTTATGTTTGAAATGGCTGTAATTTCATGTTCATTCCTTTTTGCCGCATGATGTATTCAAAATTTTGATTTCCTCTACTTTGGGGGGCCTCCCTTGCTCTCGAGATTGTTACAGGATGGAACACAAAACATAAAATTTCCCAACTTTCATTATTGCATCATCTGTCTGCAGGACTAGCATTTCTGAAAAAGTTTTTCTCATCTCTTTGTGTACCAAAAAAGTGTCTTCCACTTTAACAGTTTAATTTCAAGTTTCATTGTTGCAATTTCGCCCCTTTAACGTTTTTGCTTTTTATCAGACCCTGTTCATTTGTTGGTATGCATTTTCTTAGCTTCAATGTGGGGACTTGTCTATGTTCTATTGGTCAAGTTTTGGATGAATATAGCACTAACGTTGTTTTCTGTGTAGCTGGTAATTGCAACATTTAAAGCATGAAAATTTGTTTATTGAAAAGAAAATTAACAGAACAATTAAAAATTTGCTCTTTAAAGCGGGGACAGTAAATCCTGCTTGTTTATTCCAAATGTTATCGATCTCAGTTACTCTAGATCCAAACACTTAACTATGGCATCATTTATCTGCCTACAGTGGATGATGCTACTTGCTTGATATATCTATCCTCTTCCTCGATATGGGATTTATAACCTTTACTAACCTGCAACCCTCATAGTCTGTCCCGTTTGCATGAACAACCATGCACACATTGTGCACACACCTCTTTAGGGGAGAGGATGTGGTTCCTTTTGCATCTTTATTAAGGCTTTTAAAGAATGTGCCTCTTGACTTATTACCTATCTAAATTTGTATTAAAAAGGTGACCTATTGGAGAAAGAGAAAGTGGGGGTGGGGAAATAACAAAACAGAGAATAAGGAAAAGAAAAGCACTGCTTAGGATATATGTTCGCCTGATGCTTTGGTTGGATAGGGTTCTGGTTGTTGGAGGAAAGGCTCTAGATCTGCATCAACTCTTTGTGGAGGTCACATCACGTGGAGGTCTTGAAAAGGTATTATACTTGCAATTAGGATACTGCCTGCGATATAAAGCTTTTTGATCTAATGCATTATCTAGTGTTAGTAACAATGTTGATGACCTCTTCGTCATTGGTTTAAGTAAAGGAACACCTATATGGCTTTCTCTTGATATGACCTGGAATTCCCTCTAGCTTCTACAGCTCTCTTTGCAGGAGATCATAATCTTAGGTTGCATGCTAGCATGACTGGAACTTTTTCTCTCTGAAGATTTCTATGGCCATAAGTGATGGACAAATTGAGTTGGTCCAATATGTTAGCTTGTTACAACCCCTCCAAAGGGATGTTTAATTTCCTTGAAATGGTTTACAGGTAATACAAGATCGCAGATGGAAGGAAGTGATTGTGGTCTTCAGATTTCCAACAACCATTAAAAATGCTTCATTTGTTTTAAAGAAATATTACTTATCATTGCTTTATCACTTTGAGCAAGTCTATTACTTCCGCAAGCAAGTCTCTTTGGTCTCAACCCCTGGTATTTGAAAACTAAATTCATTTTTTTCTTTCTGATAGAAGCATCTTTGTCTTTTGAAGAAATATCCATAGCTTGTAAATTTGTGTACTTTTAGCACACACTGCCAGTGGGAGCCTTGTGAATGGATATGCAGACACCAGAGGAGATGCCTCTACAAACCAATTAACAGCTCTGGGTATGTGTAACTACCTATTGATATGAGGGCTCCAATTACTGTGTGGGCTATGTTAACTTCCAGTTGTATTTCACAATTATATGTGGTTTACGTACACTTGTTTGCCTTAATATGAAGGAGCTTTTCATTCCAATATTCACAGAAATGATATCGGTTTCTCTAATCAGGCATGCATGACTTGATATCACTAGGCTTATTAGACCTGCATAGCAATGTCTTTAACAAATGTATCATATTTTAATAGCCTAATATATTGACTATCGATGCAATCTTTTCTGAAGAAAAAAAATAGCGATATACTTAAATTATGAAAAATCCATGCCATTGTTGCTTTTCTATGAATCTAAATCTTCAACAAGTGATGTTCCCTGATACCTATATAGTTGTTCTGAAATAGTTTGTGGGACCTGCAATTTGAATTTCCTTAAAGGACTTAAAAGCAAAATTATTGATTTCACAAAAACCTTGATTGTCAGTTGCTGAGTGCTTGAGCTTCTAGAATGTTTGTTTAGCCTTGAAATGATCATTTGCGGTCAAGAAAGAAAAACAAATTGTGATATTTGGCAAGTCATTTGAAAATTATATCAGGTTGCTTTGAAAGGATTTAGAGGGTAATTTTAGTTATTATTTATACCAAATTTGGCAAGCCTAGATGTCTATTTCATATGCATCTTTGCAAGTGTGTGAATGTAGCTGTCTTGTTAAATGAGGGCTCTTACCATTCTTATACAAGCAGGAACTCCAGAGTTGCAGATTGGTAGTTCTGTGACGGGGAGCATTGATGGAAAATTTGATAATGGCTATCTGATTACAGTTAGGTTGGGCTCTGATCAATTTAAGGGTGTACTGTATCATATCCCCCAAATGCTTCAATTGTCTCAGAGTTCAAATACTTCAGATATTCCTTGTCACTGGCGCCGGAAGAGATCCCGATTAGCTTTATGGGACCTCTCCAGGCCAAAGTCAAACAGGAGTGGTTATAATTTTTTCTTTGCTGAGCATTATGTTCGGCTAAAACCTATGTAGCATGGGAAAGAGAAAGTCATCAGCGAGAAGATTGGGCACCTACGGAGCAATCTGACAGAGACTGAGAAAGTGGTATGGAAGTAGACTGTTATATCATTTGTCTCCAATTATCCAGAATGTGTATAAATATTTTTATTTTGTCTCTGCAGTTAAATCCTGCTATGTTTCATTTGACTATTGGAGATTTCTTAAAAATGACTGTTCTTGACTGTGATGCAGGTTTATCAGGAGAGAGGGACGAAGGACAAGGAGAGATGTTGAACTGAAATGTTGGAATACCGATCTTACCATGATTCAACAACTCTATAGCCTCCAATGAGTTGGTTGTTAGGAACTGAATAACAGGGTGTCAACCCTCCGTCTGTTGTTATTTTTGCTCAACTTTTCCCGTTTCTTCAATTTGCTTGACTGCCCCATTGCTGAAACTTTTGGTGATCAGATGGGAGAGCTTTGTAACTTGTGGTTATATATATATATATATATATATATATATATTAATAAATAAGAATCTAGAAGCCTAGAACATTATTCTTGTGCTATATAAGATCAGAGTGAAGTTAGTAAATTGTAGTCTGGTAGAAAATCTGCAACTACGTTGCACACCCTTTAATTAAAGGATGGCAGATGGAGATGTTGGATGAGCTTATACTTGTATAACCACCTTTTTTAGGCATTATGTCGGCAAGAAAAAAAGTTGGTTTTAATCAATGACGTTTGGCAATTGGTGTTAGTGTTGTTTTAAGAAAGACCTTTTATCATTTCATTTGACATGAAAGAGTACCTAAAAAGATGAATTTGAGAAATTTCGATTCATTTTGTAAAATCAACTGTCACATTATTCAACACGGGGTATATTTCCCATCCAAATAATAGTGTTTTGAGAAGGTTCACGGTGAAGGCAATAAATCTTTCTCAAGCACAACATTTATTGCTCAAAGCCTACCCAGCAGCACGCCATGGCCATAATTTCTCTAGTTAACAACCAACAAATTAAAGTGATAAAATGTGTGGTTTAGAATTGCATTCTACTTCACAGAAAAACAGCCTTGTTGGTAAATACTAACATTGAGAGAAGCTCAAATCAAGATTGAAAAGGTTTCCACTTTTAACCAAGTTGCGGTATTAACAAAAGCAGGGAAAGGGAAAAGAAAAGACTCTAATTATAATAACAACGAAATCTTACATTTGGATCATCGCCTAGAAACATTAGAATACACACACACAAAAAGAAAAGGGGGGTTCTATTTTCTTTTAACTCAGGTGGGAACAACCACACCTGATTGTGGTGACAGCTGCAAGACAACGAACACTAACACCAGTAATACCAACTGTGTACAAAAACATGACGTAACCTTACATACTCTCCTTTGCATCTTCAAAACCTCTTCAGTACCTACGATGTCTCCACAATACTTTTCCAACTCCTCTGCTTGTTTCTTTAGCATTACAGCCTTGCTTTCTGCCTCTCCAAGCTTATTCAACATGTGTGCTTGCTCCCCAGCCAATGATGTTTGTTCTTCAAATAGTGCAACTTGATTGCCCGCAGAAACCCTCAACTTCTCTACTGCCCTTGTTAGAGCTAGAAACTCAATTTCAGCCTCCATTTTTTGTTGAAAGAGGCCTTCAAGATCAAATTCCATTTCTCTATATTTATCTTGTTGCAACTCTGCAGTGCTTCTGGATTCTTCCTTCCGCAACCTGCTACTGTTTACACTGGTTTCCAATTCAAAAATCCTTGATTCCTTCGCCTGCAGAAGAGCCCTTGCTTCCTCCAGTTTGCTCTCCAAATATTTTACTTTCTGTGTTAAGGTGAATACCTGAGTTTCCAAGGAACCTAAAGTACTTTTTCTTATCTTTTCAGAATCTAATTGACCAGATGAGCTAGTTTCATGGATTTCCTCATCAGCAAAAGTAGAATCCATATGAACACTATTAATGTTAATTGAATCATCATGTAGAGGTTCCTTTCCTATCTCCCCTAATTTCTGTACTTCTGCAAAGAAAAATTGCTCTATTAAACTTAACAAAAATGCAGGACATAATCAGCAATTATGCTAGCATGAAATGATCAATACTAAGTAAAATGGATGATCAACATTTAACTTCTCCAAGGATGAAAACATGTATGATGTAGTCCTAGACTCCTCCATATGATTGAACTTTCACCATCAGATATCCATTATGCATTAGAGAACACCCAAATAAATGTCACTACCATTCCTCTCTCACTTCCCACAACTCATTTTCCGTGTGCCTTCTCTTCTCACAACCCTAAGTTAACATTGACCAAACACCAGCAAAAAACATTGGTGTGATTCTCCTATGAACTGAATTTAGTTACTGCTTTTCTGATGATGATTTGTTGCCAAACGTTCCTTTTTAGGTTGATCTTACTCCTGATGATGTCATTACTCCACCAGATACTTACCATTACTATCAATAGTTAATTATTAGTAGTACATGATTCCTAACTTAACAAAATATAAGCCGAAGTTCCCTTCTGCTATTTGCATTAGCTTTTTACAGCCTATGTTGACTACAGCCCTACTTGCCCATCAAGATGCTTGTTCTAGACTTATCTAAGGCTAACTGAAAAGCCAGTTCAACGTGGAACATGCACAGAGATTGGTATAGAAATTTTCAAAGTTAGCCACAACGAGGCTTTATGAACAACAACTATTTATAATCTTTGTCCCAACCCTCAAACAAAGGAGGGCATAGTTATCAACTGCTTGAAGTAAATACTTACAGAAATATTTCTGAGATTGTCAAATAAATAAGCTAACTAAAATATGAATAAATTAAGAGGTCACCAAGCTGGATTTGCAGGACATATAATACAGTACCCAAGAGTAGTTAGAACATATAATCAAACCATGAGAAAGGTTTATCAAAGATATCAGAAGGATATCACACCCACCATTTTCAAGGGCTTCCTGAACAGATTGGAGGGCAAGAATAGACTGGATCAATGCGTCTTGATCTGGTGAAGGCTGGTGATTCTCACCTTTTTCTTCCTTATCCTCCCAAGATAAATCTGCAGCTAAATCATCCGGTGAAAGCTCTTCAATTTCACCTAAATTTTCTTTCCTATAAGCAGTTTGAACTTCCTCACTGATCTGATGCTCGCCTTCACGAGCTTCATCACTATTTTCCCCATCATAATTCAAGGAGTTTCCAGTTTGCTTTCCGTTACTTGTCACTGAAAACAAACCCTGCGTAAAGACAAAGTTAGAGCTTCTTGAGTCAGATTCCATGCTGGAATGAGAGTTTTCCTTCTCAATTTTGATCCTTTCTCCTCTGGCCTTCTTATTGCTTTCAACACTACCCTTTCCCTGCTGAACTCTTTGACTTGAATTACCCACACTCTTCCCACTTAAATTCTTCATCTGGTTTTTCTCGTGTACGTACCCCAAAACTGCAGGCAGGTCATACCTCGTCTTTGGCATACTGGCTGCTGTAGATGACTTGCTACTCCGATCCTCGCTATTTTCAGAATCTGTAGCAAAAGCAAAAGCAGCCCCGACTGCAAACCTGGAATCAGAACTGGGGCTACGCATCATGAGCCCATGAGCAACACTTGTGCTCTTCAACATATTCACTGGTCCAACAGAAGCCACACTATTCTGCTTGATTTCGGGTGATGCCATATGTAGAGGTTTAGTTGGATTTGCAGAACCAGACAAACCTCGCTTCAACATTTTACTGATATCACCAGTGGCGGTTGGATCCTTAACAAAGTCTCTCTTGATACGCCTCCATTTCTTCAACCCATATCCTTTGGTGGTAGGGGGAGATGCCCCAACAGGAGATTTAGCTGCTAGATGAGGTGCATGCATTGGCTGCACAATTTGAGCAGCACCATTTAGATGATTATTAGCTGTCAAAGCATCGGAATCGACACTATGATCAGTGGCCAATCTCTGAGTCTGATTATCATTTGCGCACGACCCATTATCCTTGCTCTTGAAATCATCAACGTGATTATCTTTGACATCAAAATGAGATATAGCGTGTTGAATGGCTTCATTATCCTCCACAAATTCAAGCGCAGAACATTCACTTTCCAAATCCATAACTATTAATATGGGTTTCGCTCAAGATTTATTCAGATGAAGATCAAGAACAATAACTATCATTCCCGCAAAATCAGGTCCAAATCAACCAAAATCTGTAAAAGAAAAATCAACCCAACTATTCTCTTCAATAATCTGGCATCAAAATTCAATTAAATGAATAAATTTTAATTATACCCATCATTGGATTCTCTATTGTCATCAATTTTGAATACAAAAGAAGGAACTCAAAAGGAACAATTGAGCTTGACTTTTGTATATAGAACTTATATGTCATGAAAGCTCAACAAAGATTGAATTCAAATAAAAAAAATTAATTCGGAAATAGAGAAAAAGTGAAATTTAGGATGTAATACATATGTGATTAAAAATCGTACCTTTTATCTTCTCATAGAGGGAAATTGAAGATGATTTGAAGGAAATGGGAAACCCTTAATCGTGGTTAGATTCGCAGTTATATAGGAGGCCATGAAATTATTGGGAGAGAAACTATGGTATTTTAGTAAATTAACTTTTTGATAATTTAAAATTAGTGTAATGAAAAGTAAGGAACATTTGATCATGGTAAGTACTACTAAGTATATTAAATAAATTAAAAAATATATATAATGGAAGGAGATCAAACTTACATTAAATATTTTTATTTTTTTAATTATTAATTTCAATAAATTTAAAGAAAGAGTTCTTTTTTTCACACGATCCTTTTATTGAATTTATTTACATTAATGATTAAAAAACAATTTGTTAGTTTTGCTCCACCGTTAATTAATCCTCCAAAAAACAATAACTTAGTAAAAAGTAATTTTTGGCCAAAAAAAAAAAAAGATATGAAAATAAATGGGCCACATGGTGTGTGGGCCCATAATAAAAACAACCCAACTGGGCATTGCTGGCCGTCTAATCTGATTTGGATTTTGGATGGGGTGCTTTTATTTGCATCCATTTTTCTTTCTTTACATCTTTTTTTTTTTTTTTAAATAAAATTACGTAAAATTTTTCATTTGTATACATAATTGATAAATTTTATAACTTACTGAATATGAGTACCTGGTAAGTTATATATCTGATAAATTTTGAAAAAGTTATTCTTATGGTTTTAAACAAAATCCATTTAATTAATATCATTTTGATCTAATAAAAAATATTTATTTAATTTTCTGAAATTTCAATAAAACCTGAAATTCAGTTGCGAAAAAAAAAATCATATTTTGAAAAAAATTTTACAATATTGCAAAAAAAAAAAATCACAATTTATTTCAAATAATTGTAAGTTTATTTACAAATTAATTGATAAAATTATATAACTTTAATAATAAAAAAAAGTAGTAGATTATATAATATGTAGGTCTTTATTTTTTTTTTTTCTTGATTTTAACAATTTGAGAGGAAGATTTAACAGTGGCCATTTTGTGTCATTTTCAGGGGGATTATTATATATAATGAACAACATAAGAAGCAGGCTTATCCCGTTGAGAACATGAAATCGGCATCCGCATGCATGCAGTGTCAGAATATTACTAATCACCGGTATCTATCTATCTGTCTATCTATCAATATATAAATATATACAATGAATATGATGCCGATCGATGTTACACTCAGCAACACTGTGCAATGCAGAAACATACTCAGCTAGCCTTTGGAACATCTTAATAATTATTAGTGCTTTTATTCGCTCTTTTGTCTTTCATTCTTTTAATAGTTAATGCACTAAATCATTTATTATAATGCAGATAATAGCCCTCCCTACTCTCCTACAGTGTATGCTAGCTACACCACTGTTAATTAATTAATAAACTCAAATATAATTATACAATTAAATTTATGCACAAATTAGTTTTCTTTTTAATTTAAAATACAAGCACATATCATTCTTATCTCTTACCACCTAATTTTTATCTTAAAAAAATAAAAGATAAATAGGTTTACAATCTATAAATAAGATGTCTTACAAGTGGAGTTGTCAAAACCACCACTCATATATATATGTTGCGACAACATGAGTGCAACCTATGTCTCTGCAAATCCATGCCTACATTCTAAGATGAAACACATGCTATCCATTGACTTTCTTCATTTAGTACGGGACAAAGTTTCAAAGGATCTACTTCAAGTGTAGCACATCTCTGCTCATGAACATCTTGCTGATATACTAACAAAGTCAGTGTCCAAGTCAAGATTTCAGCTGTTATTGTCCAAGATAGGAATCTCCAATCGTGGCTCTATCTTGCGGGGCCGTATTAGGGACAAAGCCACAGACCATTTGAAATTTGAATGAAGGGTTATCTGTTAATAAATCGAGTAGATAATAACTATATATGTAATTTAAATTTTGATTACTTAGCATAAGAGTTATTTGTAAGACATAGGATTATTCTTATCTAATGTTCTTGTATATATACTATACAAAAGGAATACATTAATTATGGAGGACAGGATTTTCTGCATAGCTTTTACAACCATTAAGAAAAAGAAAAAAAAAAGAAAAAAAGAGCTCGAGAAGGTGAAGAGATTGTGTCTAAATTTAAGGAAACCAAATTCTGTCTAAACCTAAAATTTTCTAGCTCCATAAGAAAATACCGGTTAATTGGGAGCTGGATTCTTTTTTGCAGCCAATCATGTTTCATTATGATGGAGATTCCATTTCCATATATATATATATATATATATATATTTAAAGAGATGGATTCAGATAAAGCTCCAACAATGAGTACAAATGAAAAAGGTGGTCATAATGTAGTCAGCTTCCATCCATGCTGAGACAGCTTCTCACTTTCAAAATGAAAGAGCATTAGACTCTGGCATATATAATGGGGATACATATTTTAGAGAGCAGAACACATATAGGCTTTATTTAAATAAAGAGCTAGCTTTTGCGAATTGTAGAGTCATTAACTTCAAATAATTTTTATATAACTCTATGATTACAGGCAGAGGAGCTTATAGTTTTTAATTTCTGAAAAAAGAGAGTCTAAGAAAACTTTTAAGGAAGAAAGAGATGAAGCTTTAGGATTATAGAGGGCAAGCACCCTGGTATCAATGGCCTTAGTTGGCCCTCCATAATAGTAAAAATATAGAAGCTTTCTACGTAAAGGCACATGGGATATTTGTTTACTTTTTTGGCCTAGAATACTGTATGAAATAATGCTTGTAATGATTATATATTTGATTGAATCACATTCTTCTATTTTATGTTAATTTTTCCCCTTATGGGTTTAGGCCTCAACATGCTTGCTTGTGTGTGAATTAAATTTCTACCACTGAGGCAATGACTTAAGTTGAAACACATTCATAAATCATAACAGAGAAACCAAAAAGATGAAAATGAGAAAAAGTCTTTAGTCGATCATAAACTCCCTAACCCTAACCCCAGAATCCGCATGCATGCATGCATATATAACTTCTTAATCACCTTGGTCGAATTTGAAATTCAACATGGGAAAGTTTAGTTTGTAAGAAATCCTATCAGCTTGAATTACATATCTTATCTATATGCAATTTTCTTGTTCTTTTCTACAACTACTTTACATTTTTAATTTATTTAATTCGTTTACATTTACAGAAAAGGAAAAAAAAAGGTATTATATCTGAGATGAGAAATTGTAAATCATATGCTTAGGTCCATAATCCACTGGCTTTGACAAAGATTCATGTGCCAGAATTCTTTTTCCACATTGTCGAATGCAATCCTGGATGAGCAGTGAACACTGTGATTTCAGCTGCCAAATATATAGGACAGGTATACTGGAATAGTAGGTGCTGTTTTACTCATGAGGTCCAAAAGGTACCACTCCTTCCCTACTAGTTAAAATAAAATAAATAAATAAAAGGTTTCAATCTATTTTCTCAATGTCCAGGAAGGAGTCAATAATACAGCAGTGGGTGCTCGGTTCTCAGTTGGACTGGTCTTTGGTCCAATTCCGGTGCAAATAGATTCAAACTGTGTCAGATGGGCACACATTCATATTAAGACCTGGATTGGATAAACAATAATATAATAGTAGTAATATTAATTAAATAAATGCATTCTTGTAAATTTTTAATATAAAATAATTAATAGACAATACTAACTTGATTGCTTTATTTTAATGCTGTTGAACCCTTGATCATACAACCCCTGCCAACAAGCTCTGAATAATGGTTCCCCTTCCAATGCCCTTTTCTCTGACCAATCTTTGGCTTCTGTGACAAGTGAGAACCCCGTGTTAGATTTAGAATCGAAAGATTAAATAGTACAACACAAAAAACAAAAATAAATGGCCTAAGCCCAACACAATCTATTAAATTAATCAAATAAATAACTATACCATTAGCCCTCTGCAGCTTCTTTTTAAGCATTTATCTAATATTATATGTTCCGAACCTCACAGATCCTGCCCAACATTAGATTCCCCCCTTCTCTCCAGCTTGCTTTTGAGAGAGAAGATAGACATGGCCATTCAGGATTTGCAGCGAAGGGTTTCTCTTCTTTCCATTGCCTCAAAGTAAAGCAAAGCTGAGGTAAGTAAACTTCTATTCTGTTGCATCAGTTTTCTGGAATGGATATTATATATATATATATATATATATATATATATATATATGAAATGAAACTAAGCACTGGTTTACACACTTGTTATATTAGGTCTAAAGAAAGATTTGAAGCATTGCTCATGTGTTGTTTTAATTAAGCGTTAATCAGTATCATCCATTTACTGTTTCAGTTTTTCAGAGCAAAGCCTGAATGATTCCCGTCCCAATCAAATGATAACTAAAATGCTGTAACAGTTTATGATGTTTAATGGACTGTTCTCCTCTTTGTTAATACTTCCGGTCAAACCAACTCCACCATAGGCACAAGAAAACTGGAGTAGCTCTGACTGAAGCGAGGCCCACAAATATGAAGTGAGATAAATCACATGCAGTGCAGATCTCTCCTGTGTGAAGGCATCACTGTAGCATTCATCTTCTGCCATAGACTTTGGTCAGAGCCATTCACTCAATGACTCAATTATATCTGTCAGAGAAAATTGATGCAAGAGAATCCAGGAAGCGCTCAGGTTCTATGGTGACGCACATAATGCAAGGGATTATATCTGCTACCGGACTGATAATAACTTTCAAAGTACAACCAGAGAAAAGTACCATTACGATGTAGACTGTAGACTATAGAGAAGAACATTGTACAGCACTAGAGCTTAGCTTTCTTAGAACTTGGAAGAAGTGAGATCTACTGCACTGCCACAGACATCAAAACCTTCATGGCTATGGGTGAAGAAGAAGCATCAGTATCAGGTAGCGGCAAACTTTCTCAAGAAAACCATCCCAGCAGCCTCACCATCAAGACTTCATCTTGCTGTAGCAAAACTGGTAAAGATGCTTTAACTTTGATCCCCACGGATTTGCATCCTCCAAGCTTAAAAACCTCAATTGAGTCATCTCCATACAACTCTCCCTCCTTGGTGTCCCCACCATCGTCAGCATTTGTTTCAGCTTTGCAGTCACCATATATATCACCAAGAGCCACAATCCCGAAACCCCAAGAGAACTCAACCCCGCAAGATAACTCTACTCTTGTTACTCATCCATCAACACCAGTCTCGTACAGAGGGGGTTCACAATCCGATGATATACCAAGTAGTTCATACACTCCACCATCAGAACAGTATGAATACTCTGACGACCCTGCAGATCCGAAGCTCAAATTTGTAACTTGTGTTCCAGTTCCAGATCCTGCTCCACGCATCTCATTCTCATTTCCAGTGCCTCGAATTTCCTTCGCAAAAGCTCCTGTTTCTCCTGCTTCTAATGCCAAACTCAGGAGCTGTGACGTTTTCATTGGCTTCCACGGTCAAAATCCTAACTTGGCTCGCTTCTGTAAGTGGCTTAAGTCAGAGCTGGAGCTTCAGGGTATTGCTTGCTTTGTTTCAGATAGAGCCAAGTATTCAGATGGTCAGAGCCATGAGATTGCTGACCGAGTAATCTGCTCAGCCACATATGGAGTTGTGGTGGTCACTAATTCTAGCTTTCTCAATCATCTCAGCTTGGAGGAAATTAGATTCTTTTATCAAAAGAAAAACTTGATTCCACTCTTCTTTGACACGGGACCTGCTGAGATCATGGGACTTCTCAACTGCAATTCAGTTGATAAAGAATGCAAAGAAGCAATTGACGGCCTAATCAAGTGTCATGAGTTCAAGCTGGAAGCTAATCAGGGTAATTGGAGAAGCTGCGTAGCCAAAGCTGCAGGAATATTGCGAGCAAAGCTTGGAAGGAATAGTGTGGCAGAGAAAGACTTTGTTGGTGAAGGATTTGAGGAGCTGCCCTTCCCGAGAAACAGGTTTTTTGTGGGAAGACAGAAGGAGATTATGGAGATTGAAACTTCCTTATTTGGACATGCTGATTCTCTTGAGCAAGATTGTTGCTCTATGCCTATTATAAAAAGTGAAGCAAGCGGGCAATCCGAAGGGCTTGCGGATGAAGAAAGTGGTAATGTTTCCACTAGAGGGAGGTATATTAATCTGGGATTAGATAAGTGCAAAGAGCCTACTCTAGAGACATGGATTGAGCCAGTCACGGGAAGAAATTCAATGAAAAGGTCCAAATACAAGAAATCAAAAAGTGGGAACTACAAGAGCTTACGCTGCAGTGTGATTTGCATTAATGGGGTTCCAGGCATTGGAAAGACAGAGCTGGCTCTTGAATTTGCTTATAGGTATTCTCAGAGATATAAGATGGTTCTTTGGGTTGGTGGAGAAGCCCGATATCTCCGGCAGAATATATTGAACTTATCACTCGATTTGGGATTGGATGTGAGTGCTGAAGATGAGAAGGAAAGGGGCCACATTCGAAGCTTTGAGGAGCAGGAATTTGAAGCATTCAAGCGAGTGAAGAGAGATGTCTTTCGTGACATGCCTTATCTTTTGATCATCGATAATCTTGAGACAGAGCGAGAGTGGTGGGAAGGAAAAGACCTGCATGACTTAATTCCCAGGAACACCGGTGGGACTCATGTGATTATCACTACTAGGCTATCAAAGGTTATGAATTTTGACACAATCCAGCTTCCTCCATTGCCTTTCTCTGATGCAATGATTTTAGTAAGAGGAAGAAGGAAAAAAGTCTATCCGGCTGAGGAGTTGGAGTCCTTGAGAAAATTTGATGAGAAATTGGAAAGACTGAGCTTTGGTTTGTGGATTATTGGTTCACTGCTTTCCGAACTTGCCATTTCTCCATCTGCACTCTTTGAAGCTGTGAACGAGGTCTCGCTTGAAGATGGTTCTACTTCATCATATGTGAGGACTAATGGTAAGCAATACTGCAAAAACAATCCATTCCTGATGAAAATTCTATGCTTTTGCTTTGCTGTATTGCAGAAAGTTAATGGGAGAAGGAACATTCTCGCCTCTGGAATGCTTCTTGTTGGTGCTTGGTTTGCCCCATCACCCATTTCTGCAAATTTGCTAACTACTGCGGCTAAGTATATGCCTGTTGATGGAAACCGATTCAGAAGGTGGATTAAGTTCCGAAGTCTCACGTTCGGCTTGTGTGGTGGATGCGGTTTAGCTACTCAAATTGAGGAAGATTCCGCTATTCTCCTAGTAAAGCTAGGATTGGCAAGAAGAGTTAATCGACAGACTGGATGTTGGATTCAGTTCCATCCTATAACTCAAGAGTTTGCAAAGAGGAAAGAGTGTTTATCCGCTGCTAAAGCCACAGTCCAAGGCATAAGAAAAATTGGGAACCCATTGCTGAATTCTGATCATCTATGGGCTTCTGCATTTATTGTATTTGGATTTAAGTCCGAGCCTCCTATTGTGCAATTAAAAGCAATTGATATGGTTTTGTATATAAAAAAGACGGCACTGCCATTAGCAATTAGATCCTTCACAACATTCTCAAGATGCAACTCTGCATTGGAGTTATTGAAGGTGTGCACAAATGTGTTGGAGGAAGTAGAAAAGTCTTTTGTATCTCAAACACAAGACTGGTGTCATGGGTCGCTTTGTTGGAAAAACAAGTTACAAGGTAATCAAAGGTTGGACGAGTACGTGTGGCAAGATGTGACATTGTTGAAGGCTACCCTGTTGGAAACGAGAGCAAAGCTGATGTTAAGAGGTGGGCATTTTGACAGCGGTGAAGAGCTCTGCAGAACTTGTATCAGTATTCGGACAGTGATGCTGGGGCACAATCATGCACTAACCTTGGCAGCTCAAGAAACACTTGCAAAGTTGGTGAGAATGAGGAGCAAGATATGATGGAGCTTATTCTCAATAGAAGTTAAGTTTTGTTCACAATGTAAAATACGGTGATAAATCTGTATTTATTTTCCATTCTTCACTTGGAATAGATAGGAAATGTCACTGCTTTGTTGAATTACGCTAATATGATCTTTATGTTGGGAAAACAAACTCCTACACCAACCACTACCGAGATTTTTCTGACACGGTTTTAAACTTATTTCTTTTAGTGGAGTGTCTTATGCCACATCAATGCCATGTCATATTTTTTATTTTTTAAATGTATCTAAGTTTTCACAAAAGAAATTCCATGGGTTTTTGCTAACATGGACGGGCCGGGATAGTTATGTAACTCACGTTTGGTGGAGTGTCTGAATTTCGAGGAGAGTAATGCCTCTAACATGTAAGCATTGTGATGAGCAAAGCAAGTCATTCACATTCGGTTCCACCCACAAGTTTTGGATAACGTCGATAACCCATTGGCATTTTAAAACAGAATAATTTTCCGTTCGCAGATCAATTTTCCAATGCCTTCATTAACCATTAATTTGAGTATTGTTAAACAGCCAGCATTAGATTGAATATGAAGAAAATAGCGTGGCAGTCCCATTTTCAAATCCAAGGACTAAAGCTCAACATAGAAAATGGGAACAACATGAAAGAAACGTTAATTTCATTTCAGTTTTTAGCGAAATTAAGAGTTGGACACTGGTTTCTGATGCAAGAAAAGCAAGCAATAAACAAACAACAATAGCAAGGAAGAACAACCTTGAAAAGAATCACACGCATTTCAATTTCAATGCAAGCAAGTTCATCATTGACGATCTACAATCCAACTAAATACCAAGTACGGACAGACAACCTCACTCCACACTCCACAGTCTATGCAAAGTACGAATCAAACCAAACCAAACCAAACCTGTCCATCAGAAATTCAGAATGCAATTGAAATTCAACATCTTCAAAAACAAAAAAGAAAAGAAAAGAAATCCTTCTAATTAATTCGGAGAAGGGGCAGCACATGTAGTTGTAGTCCCTGCAGCAGCAACTGAGTGGACCAATCCAGTAGAAACGGCGTCGTTCTCATCGAGAAAGAGACCATCGGAGTTCCTAAGAAGGGCGTGGACCCCGCACACGAGGACCCCAATCCCAAACCCTAAGGCCAAATTTGGGAGGACGCCGCAAACCCAGACAGCCGACACCGAAAGGAAAGCCAAAGAGAAGAGCACGAGGCGATCGCTGACACAATGACCACACAGGACGAGTGGGTCCTCTCTGAAGAAGTAGAGGAGGAGCCAAAGAGTGAAGAGGCCGCAGAAGAGGAGGAGGGAGAGCGGGGAACCTATGAGGGAGAGGGCGGAGGTGGCGGCTACCACGATGGAGTAGTTGGCGCGGAAATAACGGAGGTTGGCCGGGGCACGGGAGACAAAGGTGTGAGAGTGGGGTCGGGAGAAGGATCCGGAGCCGGAGCCCAAGAGTTGAGGCCAGGGACGCAGGTGACGGAAGAGGGTGGCTGTTAGATTGTGAATGGAGCGAGAGATGACGTCAGAAGCTGAGATGGGGATGGTGGTGTACGTGGCGGCTGTTGATTGGTGGTTCTGCATCTCGTTTTTCTGAGTTTTGACCACCCGCTACCAACGGTACGACACGACAAGACAGACAACGACAACCGTTCAAAAAAACAAAAATGTTGGACGGTTTGTTTGGTTTTTGTGTTTAAAATCCAATCTCATACATTTGTGATGTAAAAAATGAAACGACAGTTTAAACCAAAGTTGTTTCTCTTAGACTATTATATAAATTTATATATATATATATATACATATAATATTATTAGCTATATTATATTCTTCAAAACATATTAATTAAGTATTATCTTAAATAATATGGATGTTGGTAGGATTTTTTAAAATTGCAGATTTTAAAAAGTTTAGACGATATGTAATGTTTTCTTTAAATAAGTAAATAAAAATTAAAAATTAAGAATAAATAAATCTAGAAAATATTATCCAAAATAAAAAGAAAACAACACTAATAGCGTTTTGTTTCCTATTACAATTACACTATTAAACAATTTTACATAAATAAATATAATAGTATTAATATTAGTAGCATTTTAGTTAAAAATTTTAAATAAATATAATTAAACAAATTTTCTTTATTATTCCATTAATGTATTAATAATAATATAATTGTAATGTGAAACAAAATGCTATTATTAATTACATAAATAATCCATGAATCAAGTAGCAATAACTGTTAGTATTTTTTTTTTTTTTTGAAAATTTTAATTTACTCTTAGAATTTTGATCTCTATTTATTTAACTCATATGAAAAGACATTATGTACCTAAATCTTATTGAATCTATAATTTTTAAGAGTTTAATCAACATGTATGATGTCTAAGTTAATATTGAGTTAGCTCCCATTATTTTTTAAGTTACAATAATAATAATTTATATAATTAACTATTGTATCACAATTAAATTATAATAACTGAATAATCAATTTATAAATTATAAAATAACTAAACAATTAAATACATGCATGATAAATTTTGAATCTAAGAACTCAAAGTTTTAGTAGCTCCTCATTGACAATTAACTCCCATTGTTAATACTACTTACTAATATTATTTTTTATGAAATTATAAGTATAAAAGAAATTATTGTTATGATTCAAATAATACATTCATATTTATTAAATTATTGAATAATCACATAAATAATCAATAAAATCAAAATATAACTAATCAAAATTAACATAAAATTAAATCAATTTCTTAAGGAGAAAAATACTACCAGGAACAAAGGCAAGGCCACGCATTTCTTTTTCTTTTTTTTTTTTTTTAAATTAATGTAGATCGTGTGGATAGAAAAACAGAATAAATAAAAAGTGATAATGAGAGAGAAAGACAAAGGAATGGCCCACACCACAGCTTTCAGAAAATGGGGGCATATTCTCCTTTGTGAAAGAGTTATATTTAAGCTAGGCTTTCACCATGCAGAAATTAACGCAAACTACACCAACCAACCCAAAGTGCAGTGACCGACCGATATCTTCACTCTTTTTCCCCACCTCTATCTTAAACTAAAAGTAAAAGATACTATTGCCCAACACAAGGGTCATTTGCAACTTTTTATTTTATAATCACAGTGGACGGGGTTCCTTCTCCTTTAACGCCTATATTTCATTTTTCATGGTGTAATGATCACCCGGTACTGTACTGTTGAATCATTTTTTATCAGTTCTCATTATAATTAGCAACGACAGCCAAATGTGATTAATTATGTAAAACTTAAGAGGAGCTTGACTTGAGTCAACAACAGCATCTGAGCTGACCAAAAAATTAAACTACACCCCACTGACCCCACTACATTTCTATATGCAACTTCATTCGTTACTAATTTCTTCTACTCACTAATTGTCCCCTAAGCCCTATGTCCTGCCCCACATCAAAATTAGATTCAAAGCCATCATTTAACACACACTGCTCCTATATGATCTATATCTGTTTTTACTTGTTTAGTAATGACATTTCATTTTGTTTAGTCTTCAAGATTACCAAGGTCAACCCTTCAAAGTTAGGATAGTTTCCATCAGCGTATCTCAGTCATCTGATTCTCAAAACTGAATACGTGGTCCACTACCCGCTTACTCAAGCATCATTATAAAAGGTAAGGGTGGAGCACAGGTACATCCTATTCAATGTTTCATTTCTTTTATCTCTCATCTCTTGTTAAATGATTGATCTCAAAATTTTATCTTCAATGTTTTGACCATTCTTCGTCTTGCAGTCGATCTCCAACGAACTTCGGACAAAGCACTAATCATCCTCACCAAAAAACCATCAACACTTCGAATTAGTATCTATCTAGCTCCTTCCCTTCTCTTTTATGCATGTCAATCACTACTAATTAAGGTCTATTTAGACAGATGACAAATTAAAAATAATAATGATGATGATAAAATTAGTTTTTATAGTGATAAAATTAATATAAAAATATTTGTATGGATGAATACATAATGATAATAAAAAAAATACATTATAATGAAAAAAAATATTATTAAGAAATTAAATACAATTTATGTACAATAAAAATTTTAAATTATTTGTCATTTGTTAAGTTAACAAATAATTTAAAAAATAATAAAATTATTTTTATGTCAAATAATAATTTTATTAAAATTTTTTATAATAATATATTTACATAAATGAAAACTTAATAAAGTAATATTTAATTAATTTTTTGTATTTATTTATATAATAATATTTTATAATTATTTTTTAAAAGATGATAATAAAAAGAAATTAAAAACTAAAAATATAGTATTATGGCAAAAAAGTCCAATGTAGTTACTCACTGGAATTTTTTTTTTCTCCCACGCAAAATTATTGCATCAGTATAGTTAATCACTGCACCGTAAGTTATCCAAATGGATTATACCGGTGCAGTTGAATAAAAAAAATATTTCAATTTCATTGTACTAACGCTGCCTTCAAAAACAAATGGGGCCTAAATTTTAATCCTTTGCCCGATAGATTTTGTATTTTATGTAATACTCATCCATCTATCTATGTGTACTAATTAGCATCCAGCTGCAACTTTGAAGTTCTCACCTTTGAAGTTCTCACCTACACCGACATTTTCCTCACTGAATAAACTAGCATCTATAGTGTCACACGAGCATGCTAATATGCTGCCATGGATGCAGGATTCTCACACTGAGTTGTCAATGGCTCAGCCGTGAAAAAGATGAACTCAAAGCTCTTCTCTATTACAATATATCTTCATCATGCACCACAGGTTGCCACACACTCACAGACTGTTCACATCTATATCTACACGTCCTATTTATATCATTGCAGAGCCAATATATATATATATATATATATATGTGTGTGCCGATTTCAACGATCTTGAGTTCATCTGCTGATAAACGATTTTGAAAGTTCATCATTCTACAGTACTCCTATTTGAATTCCTAAAGCTGCACAGGTTACGACAAATAGACATTGAAACTGATCACTGATCATAATGTCCACAGTACACCATTCATTGGTCAGATTGACAAAATCATTGCCTTGATTCACAAGCTAAGTCATTTGAAAACGTGAAAACAACTCCAAAGAAAAAAATAAAATTAGAAAAACAAGATAAATATTTCTATAGGAGCACTTTTAACTCCATTTGGCTTGAAGCCAAGGTCGGTAATCAGTTTTTATTCAAGGATTGCTTATACATTATCTAGTCTTTGTGATAACTTTCTAATTGTCTAAGCAGAAGCCTCAAAAACCGCAAAAAGTTTACCCAACAGTAAATGAATAAAAAATAAATACAAACTCTGAGATCTCAATCGCTGAACTTGCTTTGAATCTATTAGATCAAACTGCCAATATTTAGTTGTTGAAAATCATTTTTGAAGCCCAAAAGTTTCTGTCTGTCATTAGTCATCAAGAAGCTCAAGATTCAGTACAAGTTTGACATGAAACCTGCTGATGCACAGCACAGACCTTCTAACAATTCCCATCCCAAGCAAAGCTGCTAAGAGAAACTTGAAGAATAGTAAAGTGCAGATCTCAGATAGCCTGTTGAGGGCGATGCAGCCATAAGAGGAGCCTGCTGCAGCACATGACCAGAACCTTCCGAAGAGCAATCCCGCCTAACAGGACTAGCATTGGCTCGTCCGGAAGGGATTGCATTAAAGTTGTTATCTTGTAGGATAGTTGGGTCACCTAGAAAAGTGCCATCTGACTGATAACAATGAAAAGGATTCCTGTGCCGTACACTATGATTAGGAACTAATGGCATTGAAATACCAGATAATATTAGTGGGCATTCCCTCAAGCCCGCAGAGTGTTCGGCAACATCGGCAGTCTTATTTGTTTCACTTTCAGGAGCATCATCAATGACAATGATTTCTTTACTGGAAACGGCAGAATCCCCAATATTCCTATGTCCGCAGTCTAGGCTTGCAACTTTCTCCATATCATATGTTGCTGCTGAACCTACTTTGTTCTTAGGTCTGTTCGGCCGAGTTGGCAAATTATAGTTATCTTCACACTTGTACAGCTCCATGGAGGTTGTGAAACCACAGTCCATATGCCCATTGAAAAACATGCCGGCTGGAAATTGCACAGGTGTTTCTGGTTTTGCAAGATTTGCACGGCTTCTATAGCCGTTTGTCAATCGGACATCAAAAGATTGCCCCACCAAATAATTTGGATTCTGATCAAAGAATAAAAAACCCTGAGACGTTGTGTGATGGACGGGCTGGCCACCTTGATTCCGGATATTGCTAGGAGAGATTCCAGAAGAAGTTGGAAAGTTAGGAGTTAGACGATTACTCTGGGCACATGACTGGGCCTGACCAAGTGACACAGATGCGTCTTCCTCTTTGTTAACCACCATTAAATTCTTTCCCATCAGCCTGAGAATGGGATTAGAAGAAGGTGGGCTAGCAGAATCACAGACACCACGACTGGAAAGCTTGACACCAGCATCAGGAAATCCTTTAAAAGGAATGGGACCTGAAGGGGGTTTCATGATCACAGGTAGAACCATTTGTTCAGATCCTAAACTTGTACTGCTGCTCAGAGAAAATGTTTCTGGTCTTGCATCCAAATTATTAGGACTGATATTAGGATTGGCACCGACTGGCATTCCCATGGCAGGCACCATCATTGAAGCCATTGTTCGTCGCCTTAATAGTTGGGACTCCTGATAATTCAGGGCAAAACCCTGGGAGGATCTGTCTTTTCTCTGGCAACAGCATGTCTGATCATCATTTTTAAAAATCAAAGGTCTCTTTTCAAAAGATATTCTACGGGCTCTAAACTTCTCTCCTTCAAAAGTTCTTTCAGGTCCTGAGCTTGTATGTGGAACAACGGCACCGTGCCCAACTAAGGGCTCAGACTTGGCAGTAGAGTAGCCAGACCTATCCATTTTTAGAGCTGCAGGAGCACCAGCAAATGCTAATGGTTCTCCATACTTCAAATCTAACCTAGCTTCTGCAGAATTAGAGATTGTTGACACAGCAGATATGGGTGAATCTGATGAGTCCCCATCAACCAAATCAAGCTGATCTTGAGAGGATTGAATCCGGCTGATGGTCAATGACGAATTCCCTTGAAAATCATCAGAGCACATATCTCTAGGACTAGGCAAAAATGATCCTGGTGGACCAGGAATAGGTATTGGATCAACCTCAGGAAAAGAATTCCGTTGTGCAGCATCAGAATCTAATTCTCCTCCCATATTAGCAGTATGTCCAATTATAGTGTGGCCAACATCAGCACAAAACATTTTTGGTTTTTCAACAAGACTTGGCTCAGCAGGGTCAGCCAGTCCTTCAACCCCACACAAAGGCCCATTGTAATCTTCATTAGTCTGTAAAGAATTGGATCTATTCTTGGAAAGATTACTCAGCTTGTTAAACTTGGTTTCTACTGACTGATTCAAACTAGTAAGCGTCTCCTCAATAGATTCCAAACCATCAACTTTATACAGAATATCCTGATGACTACCTCTTACAGAAGAATCTGAGTTCTCTCTCTCATCATGATCATAACCATGAGGTACTGATTTTATGCTCATCAAAGCCATGCTTTCCTCCCTCCGGGAAATACTTTTTCTTCCTCTTTGTTCTTCGGCTCCCTGGATACCGCTTCCACCAAATGACATTTCTTCAGAAATTTCTTTCCCCTCACATTGATTTTTAGCACCATCATGCACTAAGTCACATTCTTGATCTGCCTCAAGATCCCAGGCCACTTCCTTCTCATCTATTTCTGCCATAAAATGCAGTTGACTCTCCCTTGTTGAATAATTCTTAACCAAGCTAGAACTAGATTTAACCATGGATGACTGGCTGCTAGAAGACCGCACATTTTTCTTTGGTGAGGAAAATCTGAAGCATTTGGATGCAGAAGAAAGATGACTGATAGGTGAAATAGCAGCAACTAGAGTATCGGGATTACTATTTGCACCAATATCAACCATCTTTTTGCTCCATGAAGATGAGCAATTTCCACCAGAGTTTAGAGATCTCACCATATAATCCTCATCTAGATGGGGATGGTCTTTGCTCAACTGATTTGCATTTTGCTTAAGTGGGTGAAAAGACCTCTCCACCTTGTTACAGATTCTGGCTCCAAACAAGGGACTCCTTACTCCCTTTTTTCCCGTAGAAGGCTCCCTCTTATCAATAACTGGGGCTTCATAAACAGGCTTCTCTATGCTCTCACATTTCTCAGGAGAAGAAATTGGACTTTCAGATGAATTTTTAAGCTTGCGAACACAATTTCTCTCCACAACAAGATCACCTTGATGTGATTGGTGACTCTGAACCCGCAAGCCCCGAGAAACATGCTGTTTACAAATCAAAGGTTGATGTCCATCTTGATTATTAGGCTTCCCTGAAAGACCTGATCGTTTAGAGCACACCCTTTCTCTAAAGTTTCTAGAATCATTGGATTTGATTTGCTTTGGCACATGTGGTCGAGGTCTTTCTTCTACTCCACAGTATCCTTCTTGTCCTCCAACCATCTGTTTAAAAACGGTATAGCAACTGTATTGATTTCCAATACTAAATTCTTAGATTACAAAATTTGCATCAAAGATGATAAGTCAAATTTTGTTTAGGTCAAGAAAGCATTTATATTTTACACCCTATTATTCTGGCAGCTAAGTGGATACCACGGCCACTGCTAAAGTTATAATCACAAACTACAAAAACATGGAGAGGATTCTGCAACTAAGGGCATATATGGTTGTTTAATTTTCACTTCAGAAATACTTATGTTTTCTAGGCATTTAGAAAGATAACCCAATCAGCTAGTTAACAACAAATACACACCGAAAATTTCTTCAAATGCACCTAAGAAAGAAATATAAAATAATCTGGTACAAAGGACAGAAGATCCATATGGAGAAAAGAGAGTCATACCGTTGAAGAACGGGTCTTATGCGAGAAAAATTTTCTGCTTTGAGGAGCAAGTTTGAGATACTTGTGATGTTTTGGGGCATGGCACCTTTTCTTTTTGGTTGAAAAGAATTTGCTTCCTTTACCTCCTTTCAAAGATTTGTGCGTTCCAAGATCATCTCCAACTTTTGACACTGGTGGCACATCATTAAACTTTGATAAAATCCGAAGTTTGGTACCATTGGCATCAACATAAACAGCACCTGCATCACTAGTATCCTCGGGATTAATGGGGGAGACTCTTTTCTTTTTCCCATCATCAGATATTTCAAGTCTCTCAGAATCCTGTCTAGGGATTTTTGACGCGGTGGCCCAGCTTGTACCATTCCTCCTGTCAAGTTCTTCTAATGTGCATGATTTAGCGGTAGCATATACGTCCACCATCAGTCTTGTCTTCCTTGGTTTAATTCTATGCCTGGTAAGCTTAGAATCCGCTGTCCACTTGGCAGTTGACTCAACAGAAAGACACTGGTCGATGTGAGCATTCAAGGTGGTATTAGAAGAGGACGAAAAAGTTTTACAAACAGGGCAAACTTTAGAAGCCATCGATTCAGATAGCATGGTACAATTTGAAGCAATATCTTCAGGCGAGCTACGATCAGAATGGGCACCAAATTTCACTATTAATCTGCACTTCTTTCCTGTGGGTCGGGTTGTGTTTTCGGTCTTATGGGACTTAAAAGGAACAGCAGCTTGAACTTCAGCTGATGCTTCCACTGAAGTATCGGTTTCTAATGGTAAGTTGGATTCCTTGTTAATCAAAACCGACTCTATTTCAGATTGAGAAACACTTGTCGTTGTGGAGGGTAAATCATTTTCATGTTCTCCTCCGGATCTGCACAAGCTATCGTCTATGCAAATACCTGCTAGGTTATGGTTTGAGTAAGCATTATTGGATGACTCTAGTACCATATGATCGTTTGGCCCAGATGGCTCTTCATCGAATTTCCTTGTATTTTGCCTCTCAAATGGATTCGTTTCAACCACACATCTCTCTACGGATTGGTTTCTTACCACATCAAGAGGCTGAAATGGTGGCAATGGATCCTTCAAGCCATGCTTCAGACAAAGTTGCAAATTTTTTGGAGAAAACGGCCAATTCTTCTTGATATCCTTGCCTCGGGCAGTGAACACATAATCTCTACAGTACAAGATGTTCTCTGTTGTCAGTACTGGGATAAAATTCATCAAAAATTCATATATGCTCAAAGGGTTACTAATAAAAGAAGTAATAACTCATCCACGAGCTTTCTTAGGGGAAGCAAAGGTTAAAATTTAGAAGAATGACATTGTATGCCAACTCAGGAAGGAGGGGGACACATGGACCATAAAAATACTCGAAGGAGAGGAACACATCAACAGCAAAGAAACAGCCAAGCAAAACAAAACCCAAGATTCAGTAATCTATTAAACTGAACCCCCGCAAAAAAGAAAAGGAAAAATGAAAGTACTCTCAGCCTGCTGCATGATATGGTAAAGGATGAGACAAGTACACAGGTAGCAAAGACAAAGCAAGAACTTCCCAGCAGTTTGCTCCAAGATAAAATCCCAAGTACAAAGTGACGTGAAATCAAAGACCCAACCAAGAAATAAGAGCCAACTACAGGTTGACTAATATCATCTTATGGCTGGAGGTATTAAGTGCCGTGAAGGAGTTCATAAGCAAAAGCCCCCTCCAAAGACCAAAATAGGGACAAGATTAGGGTGTGTCAATAGTTAGGCCCCATGTTGAACTGAGTCACCAGGTAACATCAAACTCTGGATCTGACCCAAGAAAAGTCTTAAGAAAAGATAAAAGAGAAGCTGTTAGAACGCCATGAGAAAACGCATCAAGGTTACTATTCATTTTCGAGCTGAAGATAACGCTAGATAGAGGACAAGGAACACAAATTAAATTACCTTATGGAGAATTCGGGGAGTGGGATATTAGGATGATGATGATGATGATGATTATCAAGAGACGGCTGCTTTAGCAGATCTACTTCAGGCAAAGGAAGTTTATGAGGTCTCTCGATCTCATCACCACCACTTTTCAGCTGTACTAGAAATTGACAAGGACATGGGGCATCTGGTGGAGGGTTTTGAATGGATAACATCTGATGAAAGGCTTCTCTCTTCTTGTGCTGTTTGTACAACAGTCACAAGCACACTGATACTGCTTCTATCTCCAGCACTGCCCCTTATCTTCAGCATAACAAAACCCCTCTCTCTTCCTCTTTGATTGTCTCTTATTTCTCTCTAATTGTAGCTTGTGGTAACCCCGAACCTCCACGCGAAGCAGCAGCGACAGAAAGCAGTATTCGGGTCAAACAATCCCACTCGAATCTTCAACCATTTAGCCTGCAATAGAGAGAAGAAAGAGGTGATGAGATCAAGAGTTTCAAGGAAGACACATGAGACGAAGGCAGTCGGAGATTCTACAGTCTAGAACGTTATTTTATGTGAAGAGAAGGAGTGAATTTGAGGCATCTGCGTTTTGATTGATCAAGTAAAGCATATAACCCGCAAGGAAAGATGTTGTTCAATAAAGTCTAAATTTCATGGGAGCGTTATTTTATGTGTGCGAACCCAAAGAGTAATAAAGTCCTGAAATGATAACATCATCCACGACCAAAGTTTCAAGAAACGATCAAATCCCATAAAAAGGCAAATCATAATTAAGATAATAGAGAATACTAAAGGCAAGAGTGTTACATAAATAGGAAAATATAACGCTGCACAAGAAATTCAGCTGGGCAGCGAGCGAAGAAAGCTTTTAGGAAAGGAACCAAAGAGAGAGAGATTTACAGGTTAAAAAAAAAAAAAACTGTCGAACTGGATTTATAGTCGAGAGTTCAGACAAACCAAAAAAAACCCAAATCTCAAATAGTTGAACAGATAATAAACGAAATCCAGCATAAACCCATGTAATTGGCCATTATCCTTGGGGCTAAGAAACAGAAAGAATTGAAGGAACCCAGAAGCTCAGAAGACAAAAGAGATGGTGAAATCATAGTTAATAAGTAAGTTTCAACGTTCAAAAGAAGTGAGAAAAGAACAAGTCCAGCAACAGACCCAGGAAAAAAGATGGCTGCTGCCAGAGTAGATGTAGAAGAGATCCAGAATGAAGGAGGTAGAACAGAAGATTAGGGCATACAAACCTTGGGAATTTGACTTGCCATTTTTCAAGGAGATTTTTAGAAGACAATAAGAGAGAAATGAGGCGTTTATGAGTACTGTTCTGAGAGAGAGAGAGAGAGAGAGAGAAATGAGAAGGAGAGAAAAACAGCATCACCCACTCACACATCAAAAGGGCATCAGGTTCTCTTCTCTCAACAAAAAAGCAAGTTTGTAACATTAATCACCACATTCACCCCCCATCTCTGAATATGCGTTTAAAGACTCTTCAAAACAAAAGAGTGAGAAAGAAAGAAAAAAATAAAAAGCTAGAGAGAGTGTGTTTTTTCTTATTGCAAAATACACAAAGCTGTCCTATCCTATACCTACCCTACAACCCTTCATTTTCTTGCTTTCTTTATTCTTGATTTTTTATCAATCCATTGCTGAAATGTCGGTTTTAGTCACCTTCTTTTCCACAAATCCCAAAAAGTTGAACCCCATGTTGCCCGCTACACGACAAACTCTCTCTCTGTTGTCACAATTATATACATGACCATCCAAATCCGGTATCCATTCTGAAAAAAAAACATAAATTTTTACACTCCGCCTGCGATCAAAATTTTCATTTTTGATTTCTTTGCAACCCCAACAATTATGTTCAGACAGTACCATCCTTTGCTGTTCCGAATTAGTAGTAGTGGTGGTGGGTGGACTGTGAAAAGCTATGTTTTTCAGTTTAGTTTAGTTTACTAGTGAAAATTTAATGACTTTCTTTTTGTTTTTTTGGGTGAAGAAAACTTCAGACCACTTTCATATTCGCTTTAGTATTTCTTTGCCATATAACCATCTTCTCCTAATTCCAATATCCTTGGTATCTTCGTATTCTTCGCTTACGGTAGGCTTCTAACAACTAACAAGCTCCTGCGCGCATTTGATTCTGATGAGATATAGCTTCTGTCCAAGTTTGATTCCTTTGTTTATTTTTTTTTTTTCTTTAATAGTTGGGTCATGGTATCGGTAAGTTTTTCAATGAGAAAATCTTGTAAAGAGCTACTACTACGTACTGTAATTATTGAAATTAACATCATATATCCTAACGTTGAGTTTTGAGCAAATGAAAGAAGCAAATGCGGAGAAGAGAAGCTAATAAAGCCTTGTTTCCCTAAATATTTATACATATATCCATTAGGATACTAAAACCTGGCAAAGTTAAGCAATTTACAAATTAAGCATTTCATTAAAATTAATTGATAATAAATAAAAATTTTAACTTAAATATAAGTTCATAAAAAATTTAATGTTTAATAATATCATTTTTACAAGTCTCATTAGAAAAGAATAAACAAAAACAAAAACTTATCATCGGATAATTTTTTTTAAAAATAATATATCAAAATAATAAAACAAAATCAAATTTTATATTATATTAAATATCTAATTTTAAAATTAATTAATAATTAATATAAAATCTAAAAAATTTTAATATTTAATAAACAAGAAATAAAACCTCTTTAAGAATGTGATATGATCATGAATCATGATCATCCGGTTCCCATGCATGCATTTGTATTTTGTTCATGGGGAATGATATTATCTTTTTGTTGTCTTTGTGGGCTCCCAGTAATCTCCTCTTCTCTCAAAATTTCATAGTCCCTGTTCTGTTCTCAAAGAACAATCTGAAACTGCCAATTCCGATGCCAATTGGTAGCATTTTATTTATTTAGGAGTATTAATTTCTCAAGGTCGAGCTACGTGCTGTAAATTCGAGCCTCTTCGTACTTAATTTGTTACTTTCCTCAACTTTTAACACTTTTTATTATTATATTATCATATATATTCAAGATTCAACACTATGCCAATGAACTTGCCTTAAATTTGAAGGAAGGTCGGGACACATTTTTTTTAATGGGTTTGACAAATAAAATATACTTATTATAGTAACCAGAGTGTTACCCGTGCTTCGTTGCTTAACATATATATTTTGCATATTCAAATCATTGATTTTACAAAAATAATATTAAAATAAAATATATAAAGTTTTTTTTTTTAAAAATTAAAAGGTATTTTATTAACATAATTCAATTTTAATTTTTTTCAAAAGAAGAAGAATCATATAATTATGCAAATGTTTTTTCTACACAAATAGCAATTTACGTGACATCATCAAAAAATAAATATCAAATTCAAAAAACAAAATTTAAATTTAGTATTCAATGAACTTATGATGAAAGCAATAAAAATATTTTCTCCTCCTCATCCTTGTAAGGATTAAGGACAATCCAACTCATCTAGCATAGCACTTCCAGCACAATGACAAGATATAAAACCATATCATTAAGAAAAACACACATATATGCAATAGATTTTTAAAATCTAACACCATAAAACATTTAGAACACAAATTAAGTCCAACAATAAAAAATTCCACTCACAAAATATATACTTCTACAAAATTGATAACACCTTACAATATAATTTTAAACACAACACTTAAACAAAACAGAGCACTTAATCAAAAGAGTAAATTCCTAACGAGTTTTTTTTTTTTTTTTTTTTTCTATTTCCAACATATTTCTTCATCATAAGTATTCAAATGGCTTCTTAGATTCAAGTGATAGTACCAGCAAAACAAAGTTTGAAGAGCAACAACTAAGATTTCTATCATTTTTTTTTTTTTTCATTTGGGTTTTAAGGTTTAGAAAAAGTATAAAAAAAGATTTGTGTATAACAAAACACATAACAAACTATTAGAAAAGAAGAAATATCAAAATATGTTCTAATAAAGTAACATAACAATACTACTGCACATATGAGCTAAACGTTATATTTGCATATTCAAGAACACCAAATTAAATACATAATTGTACACATGCTCTATAAAATTATTCAATATATAGTTGAATACATAAATTGGAGAAGAAAATTTCTTAAAGTCTAATACTTGAAAATTAGACCTAACAATTAGAATTGGTCATTAACAAATACCAAGTAAATCAAGTAGAAAACTGCAATAAAAAATCAAAGTATTTTTCATCTCTCTCTCTACTTGGGAAAGTTTAAAAATAACTAAAAAGGGTAATAAAAATAATGTGAATAATGAACATCAAACTTAATTAAAAAAATTATTGATATTAATCTTAGACGCATTACCCAGGTAATGAAAGTTAAAACAAAATAACACTTTGGATGATAAAACAACACAAATCAAATCTTCAAAACTTAGAGAGAAGATGCATGCAAAGGTATATTACTTTTTGTGTAAGATATGCAAAAGTAGGTCACTAAAACTTATTTATAAAAACATAAAACAACTGCATCTCATAAAAGTACAAAAATAAAACATGCTCATATCAATCTTTAAAAATACAAAATTTTGGACACAAATGCAAAGGATTTTTACAGAAAAGAAAAAGTAGTGAGATGAACATAAATATATAGATGAAGCACTGAACACCAAAAAAAAAAAAAAAAAAAACCCCAACAAAAACATGACATAGTCAAACTAAAAAAAAAAATCAACCTTAAAACAATAAAGAAAATTAAAAAGAATTACCATCAGCTACACTGAGACAATTTTATCAAACAAAGAATAATATGAAAATGCAAGCAAATTAAAAATTAACTTTAAAAATAATCAAATATCGAACAAATAGTTTAAGCAAAATGCATGCAAGAAAATGGAGGATTAAATGCATTAAAGAAAATTAATTAAAACTGTAACAAAGAATTCTAAAACTTTGGAAGAAAAGCACATGAAATTAAAAGAAAATTTATTAAAATTTGATTTGAAAATATAGACGAAAGAAAAAAAATTCAAAACTAATAATTATAAGTAGGAAGAGAATATGACAAAGTAAAAAATTGAAAGGCCTATTTTTATTTTTTTTTATTTCTTTCATCTTTTGATAATTGACTTGATAAGTAGTTTTTTTTTTTTTTTTTTGATAACTGATAAAAAAAATTAAAAAGAATAACAAAAACAGTGTGACTAAGCTACAAATCAGGTCATTGATGCCAATTAGGGTTGGCAACGAGTCGGATCGAGACGGATTTTTATTCGTCCCGAATCCGATCCGACTTCATATCCGTCAAACTCGACTCCGATTCAATCTAAATTTTTAAAAAAATTTTTCATACCCGAATCCAACCCGACCACGAAATTAATAAAATATTATTTTTTAAATATAAAAATTTAAATATATAATTATATAAATATATAAATACAAAATTAATTTAAAAAATTATTTTTATATAATATCGAATCGGATTTATCTAAAACCCGAATTCAATCCCAACATCTTCTTAGCACTACCCAATTTGATCCGACTCAAAATTCGATTTTTTTCTTTTAAAATCTGATCCTATGAATTCGGATCGACTCGAAATCCGTTGGGGACGGGTTGGATTACCCACCGTAATGCCAATAGAGCCTCTAAAGGGTCTATTCATAGGCAGATTTAACAGAAAATTCTCCGGTAGAGGAAGCTGTCCAAATGACGCTATCTTCCTAGCTTGAAACGAATGGGATGCATAAGGTATGACTGATTCTTTAAATCCATGGGGAGAAACGTCAACCTAAGCCAATCCCAGTTTCCATTCCCATCACAATAATTTCTATGACAACACAACCTGTCTTCACTGAGGAATCGAAGACTCACAGCTCTCAGCAAAAGGTTTTGCTACCAAGCCATTCATCATACCAGAATGATGTATTTCGCCCATTGCCTAACAATTTCGAGTTCACAACCTCCTTAGACCAGCACATGCATGCTCCTCCATGCATGGGAAGCAGCATGTTTAAAGCATGAATAAAAGAACCTCTCAAGTATTTGGACCTCATCAACACATGTCCACAAAGGCCTGAATTAACTTTCTCCAAGTTCCAACCGGGTTTGGACAGCAAGGCCTCATTGTCTTCTCGATGCCTAACCCTCCAACTGAATTCGGTTGACAAACTTTAATTTGTTAATTTTTTTTTTCTTGTCATTTGACTCTTGAGTAGGACTGTTTGCGATAAACTAACCACCTACTTGCTCTTCCTTAAACTTTTAACTCCTTTTTACATTTGATTCCATGATTATTGAATTTCTTATTTCAATAATTCATGCCTTTTTTATTATAAGACTTTTACTTTTAAAGTTGTTTACGTTTGTTTTTATTTATCTATATAATTATTTAGTCCAAGCTATGATGATTTCAAGATGGACTATTTTGAAACTGATTATTGTTGTTAATTATTGTGTTATAGTATATGGTTTAAGGGTAAAAATCTTTCCGCATCTCCAACTGGCTACAAGTAATTTAATTAATTCTCATATAAATGATATATATATATA